GACAAACAATATCTCTATACCTTAATGAGCTGGGCCAGAGTAAGAGGGGCAGAAGAGTCAGAAATCTGTTCACAAAATAATTAAACCATATTCAGGTTCAATCTCCAGAAAATTAATGCAAGGCTGCACTGTTTAGCATGGAGTGCAGTGTGTAGGAAGAAGTGTGAGGCTGGGGTATTACGTACTGCCTTGGATGTTCCCCTCACTGGTTCCTTTTGGTTCCTGGCAGAAGAAACAGAGGTGATCAGAACTCACAATGAAGCATTTGGACCCAGCATCAAGCAGTGAAAACCGACAAGAACACTTGAACCTCAAACCATTATGTTCTCATAGTTGAGTGAATGTGGGAGTTTATTTGTCTTCATAAACTCTTCTCTCTTGGCACCTCCAGTGCAACTAAAGCCCCCAAAATCTCATTTCTGTTGCCACCAGTTACACAGGAGTGTAGTTTCTTAGCCAGAACAGTGACAGTGTCAATGCTCAGGAGTGCAGGTTCCTTTTAGTGAGAAATGATCCCTCCTGTGCCAAAGCAATACCAGAACTGCCAGCAGCTCCATCTCCAGATTGGTGTTTCTCTGTGGGAGCCCTGCTCACACCTCTGCCATCCTTAAGGGCCCAAGTGCCCAGTGTGTTACAGATGCTACAGTGCCTACAAATGCTGGTAGAAAGGTCACCTGGAAGCCTTTCCTAGGGGTTGGTGCAATTTAGGAGCTCTGTAGGGGGAAAAAAAAGGAGTCTTAATTGGCAGAATTTCCTTTCGGGTGATCTTGAAAATGCAACAATATTTTGGGAGCTGTTTATTACATTTGCAGACTTGCTGGGATTACACACACTCGGTGCTGTGTGTCTGATTCAGGTGCTGAGGAATCAGACACACAGCCCCTGTGAGAGCAGATCCTCATCCCTCCCACTCATCAGCCTCTCTGCCAGGTATTTCTGCCGTGTTTCCAGCGGCAGGGACAGAAAGCTGCTCTGCCTGGGAGCTGCCATCCCTGCAGCTGCACAGCCACTGCCACCTCACACAGGAGCTGATGGGGTCTGAGCACTGCCAGCATCCATCCTCCCCCTGCAGGCAGCACCGCGCCAGGGGAGAGCCATGCAGCCCAAAGGGAGGACGCTGTGACAGGCCAGCAATGAACCATCCATATTTGCATTAACCCCAAACCAAAGCCAACACTGAGGCATCCAGAATTCTTCACCTCTCTTCTACAGACATTGTGTAAAAGCCCCAAATTCGGGGTGCAGAATACCTGCCAGATAGCCCTCAGTCCCCAAACCCATCTCCCCCAGTGCAAGAAATAGTTAAGTACTGACAACCAGACTCTTCTCTGATGGGAACACATTAAAAGTTTATTTCTAATAATATGTAATTGTTACAGTGTGTAGCTGTCATTACTACAAAGCCACTAAAAGCAAACACAATCTGAAATCTCCTCGTGCAGAGGGAACAGGATCTGTGACTTGGCTCTCAGCCCAATCATCCCAAGAACAAAACCAAGAATCACCATAGGATTTACCAGTGTTGGAGTTTGAACCCCACATCCCTACAAACCTAACAGTGTGAGTCTGCTTTGGAGCAGATAAATTGAAATCTACCCCATGAAAAAGGAAATTAACAGTAGCTGTGACCAGATGCAGTCCAAGTGCCTCTGCAAACCCATATCCAGAAAAGAAAAGAAGTTCACACCCTGACATCCCTTCCAGGGAATCCCGAGCTTCATGGATACTCACATGGCTCGAGCTGGGACCCTCTTCACAATCACTGAGACGTTCTTTGGGATCTGTGCATCAGCAGAGTATTCTGAGAACAGCACAAATGCAGAACAAGTGTGAGTCAGTTGGGAGGAATGGATATGGACATGGAATTAGATGGCAGATCATAGAATCCCTTCAGAGCTGTAAAAGCCAGCTGTATATGCACCACTGTGCTTTCCCAGCCTGGCTTTGGTCCCCAGGGCAGAGCAGGGCTCCCACAGCCTGTGGCACTGCTGATCTGTGCCACTGCCCCTGGGTGTGGTGGGGTTTGAGGGCCCCCAGGGTGAGGGAAGAGATGAGAATCTGGATTCCATGTTTCAGAAGGCTGATTTATTATTTTACGATCTATATTATATTAAAAGAAAATTATATACTAAAACTATACTAAAGAATAGAGAGAAAGGATTTCATCAGAAGGCGAGAAAAGGAATGAATAATAAAATCCTGTGACTGACCAGAGTCCTGGCACAGCTGGACCTGTGATTGGCCATCAAGCAGAAACAATTCACATGAGACCAATCAAAGATGCACCTGTTGGTAAGCAACCTCCAAACCACATTCTCAAGCAATCAGTGTTTAAATTTCGTTTCTGAGGCCTCCCAGCTTCTCAGGAGAACAATCCTAGCGAAAGGATTTTCATAGAATATGCCAGTGACACCTGGGTGGCCCCAGGCCCCACTCACCCTCACTGGTCTCAGCTTTGAGGATCTGCAGGTCGCAGTTGGCCACCTTGAGCCTCTCTCGGGCCATGATCTGGCTCTTGAGGTCAGCCAGGGAGATGCTGTGGCCATGAAATGTGACCACATCATAGCCCAGCTTGGAGAAGAACTTGTAGTGCACACCCGACATGGCCCCGAGCGCTCCTCAGCACTCGCTGCTCCCAGCCTGGGCTGGCTTGGGCACCTCTGCTGGGCACTGCCAGGGCAGACACACAGAGCTGGGCACCACCCAGAGCATTGTGACCTCGTGGCGCGCTGCTGAGGAGCCATGGAACCCCAGAGCTCTGCCCAAGGGACCCTCATTGTCCTCAGCACACACAGAGAGCAGCACAGAGCACCGGGGGGGGGGGACTGAGGAAGGCTCCACATCTTCCTCTGTCACCCTGTCCTTCTGAGCCTTCTGATGTTTACATTTTTGTAATGGTATTTTGTGGTGGTGTTTGAGGGTCCCCAGGACAAGGGAAGAGATGGGAATCTTGCCCCCATGTTTCAGAAGGCTGTTTTATTATTTTATTATCTATATTATATTAAAAGAATATGATATACTAAAACTATACTGAAGAAAGAGAAAGGACATATCAGAAAGCTAGAAAAGAATGAATAATAAAATCCTGTGAATGGACCATGATTGGTCATCCAGTAAAAACAATCCACGTGAGACCAATCAAAGATGCACCTGCTGTAAACCATCTCCAGACCACATTCACAGCCATCAGATAGTTATTGTTTACATTTCTTTTCTGAGGCTTCTCAGCTTCTCAGGAAAAAAATCCTAGTGAAAAGATTTTCATAAAATATGTCAGTGACAGTGTTTCTCATGCACTTTTCATGTAAATAATAATTATTTTACATTCCTTTCTGGAGGAGGAGAGAATTGATAGACTGTTAGTTTAACCAGTGTGGTTGGAGAGGTGGCAATTTCATCCTCCAATCCATGGTCACTTTTAGAATTCTATAAATATCAAAGTCCAGAAATAAATGTACCTTTTTTGCCTTGGATGTCTCAGAGTGTAGAGTTCATTTTCTGTTGTGACATTCCTCAATGGTTCTGTCTGATGAAGGCTGGACGTCTTCATCACTGTGCCCTTTCCACCTCTCTCCTCCAGGCATGTGCAGCCTCTTGTTGGCTCTTTCAGTGATTTTCTCACTGGTTTCACAACCTCTGTTCTTCATTTTTGCAAGTTCTGCTCCCGATTTCTTGCCATGTTTCATCCTGGGTCTATAGCTTGTGAATAAAGCTTGGTAGCTCCTATATTGGTTACCAGGTATCTAATGCTTTCCTAAGTATGCTTTGTGCTGAAATTTGGTAGCTCCTCTGTTTGTTACCAGGTATTTTATGCTTTTCCCAGTATGTCTAGGCACAGTGCTTTTAACCTTTTCAGTGCCAAGACCCTGCACAGGGTCAGGGAGCTGCTGGAGACACAACAGTGTCTTACCCACCTTGAAAAAAGAATAAATCAGGGGATATCAGGGATATCTGCACAGCCTCTGTGACAGCTCTGGGATAAGGCTGCATGGACAGGTTTCATGGTGTTGTCATCAGGCACCTGTAATTTTCTTGGAGCTTTGCTCTGGAATAGAACCAGCCCTGCAAACCTCGGCCGCTCAGGAAAGAATTTAAAACTTTCAGGTAATCTTGGTAGGGGGCGAATTTTAAATCCAGGAAAAGCAGAAGCCAGGAAGCAAAGGGAAAATCATTCCAGTTTTTCCCTGTATCTTAAGCACTTTTCTATAAAGGAACTACAGCCCCTGGATGCAGGAAATCATGGCAGGAGGAGATGGATTTTCCCTTGCTATATGGGCAGTGCTGAGCCAGGGCCACAGGCAGTTAAGGAAATTCCCAACTGAGATGTTGTACCATGAAAAAACCACCAAGCCCTGGCATAAATCCACCCAGTCCTGCCTCAGGGGGACAGCATAACTCTGTGATGCTCAGAGCATCCACATGGACAAGGTGGCAACAAGGGACAAGAGAGGCAGGGGTGTGGCAGCTCCTCCTGGAGTGATTCACTGCCATCCCCTCTCCATGTGCTCTGGAGGGCTGTGGGGGATGGCCTGGAAGGAATGAGGATGCCCCAGTCACAGTCTGTGCTCAAACACTCACGGATCAGCGCTGGGGTGCAGGGAGGTGGGTCTGGCACGGCGCCCTGCAACACTCCTCACCCCAGGGCATTGTGGAAGTGTCAGTGAGGGACTGGGGAGACAATCAGATGGAAAATAACCATGGATTGATAAACAGCACACCCACTCTGAGGCTTGGGAGACAATGGCAGGAGCTCCCAGCCAGGAGATGGTGCTGAGTCTCCTGTCCCCACCTCAGGCATGGGCTGCACAAGAGCAAACACTGCTCTGCTCCAGCTCTGCAGCCTCACAGCCACTGCAGAGCCCAAACACAGATGGCTCCAGGGCACTGCTGGGGCCCAGGGCAGGGGGAGCAGTGCCACAGCCCCAGCCCCTTCCAGCTCAGGACCCTTTGTGCCCTGCAGAACACCCTGAACACGCCCCAGCAGCCCCAGCATGCCCAAATTCAGCCACAGAGTTTATTGTTCAGTAGGAGCTCACCACACCAGCAAGCCAGGACAAGGGGGATGGTACATGAATACAGATGTGGAGGAGTTACACAGACAGATTTGTACAGCTTTTGTACAGAGGAAGAAAATGAATCAAATAACAAAATAGACATTAGCAGTCAAACATTTTTTTTTCTTTTTTTTTTGTATCATACTAACAAAATCTGATAGCCAAAAAATGACTAAGCTACAAAATTGTAATACATACTGTATGGGTAAAAGGTTATCATCCATTTATACATCTAGTATCACCTTTTTTCTGGTAACTTACAGGAGGCCTATAGGATCTTAGTGTATTAATAACTCCCTACAGATAGTGCTGAGCTGCTAAAGCTGCTGAATAACGGAGTATTGGAATTTTCATTAAGACTTTTACAGTGCCATTTGCATTGTTCTGTTTAATGAAACCCTTATGCATCTCTACTGCAAGTCAGAGGAGCTGCTGGTGGCTGGGGGGAGGCAGGAGCTGTAAGGCCTTGGCTGGCAGCTTGGCACCTGGCACTGCAGAGCTGTGACACCCAGCTGGCAGTTTGGGACCATCATTGCAGAGCTGTGACACCCAGCTGGCAGGTTGGTACCATTATTCCAGAACTGTAACACCCAGCTGGCAGTTTGGTACCATCATTGCACAGGGCACCAGCACGGTGCTGCTCCAGCTCTCTGGATGCTGCAGGAGGGAGAAAGCTGACATTCCCAAGCAAGACTCATTCTTTTCCCCTTTGGTCTTGACAAATAGAGAAGAAATCACTCCATACTAAGTAGTCTGCACCCAAAGGCTGTTTTTGCAGCAGACGAGGGCTCAGCTCTCAGCAGAACAGCATCACTGACTGTCAGGGCTGCTCCTTCCCTTGGAGCCCAGCTGTGTCACCCCCTGCTCCCCACCCTGCACCCCTGCTCAGGAGCCACCTGCAGCTGGAGAACCAGCATGGCACTCTCAGGCTGGGAGAAAGGCTGGGGAAAGCACAGCCCTCCCTCAGCAGCTCCCAGGGAGCGAGGTAAGAGCAAGGCTGAAGCCAGAGGGGGAGTGAAGGCACAAACAGGAACCAGCCCGGATCAACAACAGGACAAGGGGACATCACCACTGCTCCAGGGCCCCAGACTCTCCCAAAAAACCAAGCCAGCAGGACCAAGGATTGTGAAGCACTTTATACACCACCACATAGGTAAAAATAGCACTTAAACTTACAAATAAATAGAGGGGATGGGGAATCTCCCCCTTGTCCTTTCCAAGTTTGTCCCCAGTGTGGTCTCTCACCACCTCAGGGGGGCAGCCAGAGGCTGGTGCCCTGGGGAAGCCTGTGCTAAATTTGGAGAGGGAGGAAGTGAGTGAGTGCAATCCCTCCTTACACAGGGCTCAGCTGAAGCCCACATGAGCACACAAATATCTGCTGGCATTGTGGATGGTCCTGTTTGGGAGCAGCTCCCATGGACCTGCACCCCAGAGGGGCTTCAACCCTCAGCCCTGTCCCACAGTGACCACAGAGCCAGCACGGAGAGCCCAGCAGTGCCAACAGCTCCTGGCTGATCCTCAGGGAGCAGCACAGTCATCTACAGCCAGAGAACACCATCAGCACTAGCTCTGAACCTGCTCTGACCCCTCTGCTCCTGTGCTGCATTGTCTCCTGAGCTGAACAGGGAGAGCCCCAGGTCTGAGCTGCTCTCAGGGGATGGTCCCTGGGCAGAGGCAAGAGCCAGAGACTCTTCCAGCCTGGCAACTTTGGATCTGATCAACAGAACCAAAAACATGGGGACTGACTCCCAGGGGATCCTACTCTGTGTAGAGCCAAAGGGAGGTGGAAACAGAGATATCTCTGCTGCAGGTGAAGGCAGCTGGCCACGAGTCACTAGGAGACCCAAACAGGAAAATAAATTACAAACCAGAATGGGCCCTCCCTCTTGCAGGTGCCCAGGGAAGTCCACAGGGTCTGCAGACATGACTTCAGAGACCATCCAGCCAACAGGAGCATTTGGAGAAACATCAGCTCTAAATTCTTAAAACCAGCAGTGAGGTATTCACTACTGAGGGCTGTAACAAACAAAAACTCCCTCTGGGACTTTCCAAAATCACTTAGAAGATGAATACTCAGCCAGGAGGGTTTTGGAGACCACTCCTACAACCCCTTGGGAAGCTCCCAGAGCTAGGCAGAGATGTGGCAATCTTCCTGGTGATTTGTAAGAGCTGAAGAAACACTTCTACATGGCAGGATGGAATTCTACATGAATTATTTCCAGCCAGTTCCATGCCACCCTCTGCCTCCTGCTACCATGAGCAGATTTCTGCTGTGATTTCTGACTTGTTCTACTTCTCCTTCCTCTCCCATCCTCCTTGAAGGACAGGACATCACCAATTCTGCATCAGGTGAGAAGGGTCAGGTGTTCAATGTCATTCTCCTCATGGCAAAATCACAGTCCTGAAGCTCAGGTCTTTCCCAGGCTGCTCCTGGCTGCCCATCCTTCAGAGAAGCAGAAGTCTGGCAACCCACTAAGAGAAAGTGACACAACTTTGTGGGAAATCAGGGCAAAAAGCAACAGAGCTGATGTGCCCTCGTGTTCACCTGCTGGGGGTCTGGCTCAGATCTCCTCTCCCATCTTGTCCTGTCACAGATGTCCCATCATAGCAGAAGGCTGGAGGAGGTGGCACTAACTGGGAGAAGCCTGGAGAAATATTGCTGTGACTGTTCCCTGTGCTGCTGAAGAGTGACCCTGAGCTGGCTCTTTCACACCTTTAAGAGCATGTTGTCACCTTCCTCTGCCCTGTTATCACCTGGGAGCTGTGGTGCAAAGTTGGAATAAAGCCTTGAGAAGAAGGAACAAGATCCTCTGCTGGTACAGACACAGGAGCTGTGTGGGCTCTGGTCTTGGATTGCCTCTGCTCCAAACACACCCAGGTCATGACAGAGGATTGCTGAAGCCATCACAGGCTCACAGCAGCACCTCCACCTCCTCCACCTCAGGCAGCAGGGCTTGGGCATCACACTGGAGAGCTCAGGACAGCTCTGGAAAGCACCAGGCAATCACAGTGAGCTGTTCAATTGCACAGGCAAGGAGGGAACCTTTTGTTCAGTGCGCCTGTCCCACACTGAGTGCCCCCAGCATGGAGCTCCAAGGCCAGCAATGCTGAGATCCAGCACCTGTGGAGTCCTGAGCTCAAAACAGAGCCCAGGAACCCCCCAGGAGTGAGGGGGACACAGCTGGACAGATGGCTATGGCACAGGGCTCCAGCAGCCTGCTCAGAGATCCCACTGCAGGAAAAAGGGCCAATACACCCAGGCAAGGTGTGCCTGACCCCAAACCCAGAGCAGCCCCCACAGCTTCTTCCCCAAATGCCAGGAGAGAAGAAACAAAATAAATACCCCTCTGAAACTGGATTATTTCCCACAACATGCTATAATACAAGAACTAAGTGCAGGTTCTGCTCTAAAACAGTGATGTCTTCCAAAAGGGAGGAGGGGAACACGTCCCCAAACCTCACATCATCAGCCCAGCAGGTCTCACTCACTTGTGCAGGTCCTCAGGACACCAGGGAGTGTGGGAGGGAAGGGCCAGACCCCGTGGGAAGGGTGCAGCCTATGGGCACATGCTTTGAACACCACAGGCAAATCCCTCTGCAGCTCCTGTGGGGTCCCACTAACACTTGAGCCACAGGTCAGGGCAGCTGTCATCCAAACCACGTCAGCTGGTGGGACAAGGGCAGCTCAAACAATACAAATTCCACAGTCAAAACCAATACAAGTAAGAAACCAAACCCAGAGAGGTCCTTCTGCTCCCTCCTGGAACAATGGCTGTCTTGGAAAGCTGGACTCTGGGATTGTCCCGATTACATCAGTTAGTACATTATAAACATTGTCCTGCTTTAAAGTGAAAATACTGTGTGTGGTCTTTTGGAGGTGCTAAAGCCAGATGTGGTGTTGCTTTTCCTGACTGTGCAGAGGAGCTGATACTGGCGTGAAATGATCCTTTCCACCTCTTCTCTATCAGAGCTTTTCCTGCAAAAAAACAGAACTTGTCAGGCAAAAGCACAGAGGCTTTATTTTGATAGCACAGAGGCTTTTTTGGAAAGCACAGAGGCTTTATTTTGAAAGCACAGAGGCTTTATTTTGAAAGCACAGAGGTTTTTTTTGAAAGCACAGAGGTTTTTTTGGAAGAGGTGTGGAGTAGATTGCCCACTGCTCTGCCCAGTATGTGTGGATGAAGTCTGCTGTGGGAGGCCAGCACAGCATGTCCCACAAATGCCACCCATGCAAAGGGGACAGCAGAGCTGAGGCTGAGCAGGTTCCAGCAGGGGCTGCCAGGGGAGGTGTGACACAGCCCTGACCCAGAGACTGTGGGGAAGCTCCCTTTGCCCCTCTGTGTGCCCCTCACCACCTTGCCCATGGCTTCAGGGGGTTTCTAGTGAGGCTCCCACCACACCTGGGAACTGGAGTTGTGCAAAGCTCTTGCTTTTGCTGTGGGAATGACACAGTCAAGCTGTGCTGGTAGAACTACCCCCAGCCAAGTGCTGTCCCCACCACAGCAGGCAAGAAACCACACAAAGCAGATACTTGTTTTAAATAACATTCTGCTCAAAACTTACCTCTTGCTTGTGGGATTTATCCTGCTGGTGAATCCCATTAGCAGACCCAGAATTTCCAACAGTCTGCAATGGAAAACAGACAACACTTACTGAAGAGGGACACAGATCCTGGTGGTTTTGCTTACAAGCACTGAAATCTGGCAAGGCTGCCCTGTCCTTCCTTAGCTGCCCACTCCACACAAGGATAAGAGGGAATGATGAGGAGGACTAATTTATTACTTTATTATACTATATAATGTTAAATAATACTATACTATACTAAAGACTACTAAATTACTGAATGCTAAAAAGATAATTATGAAAACTCCTGACTCTCTCCAGAGTCAACACAGCTTGGCCCTGATTGGCCAAAGAGTGAAAACAACTCAAAGCAGAATCCAATGGAGCAATCACCTGTGGGTAAACAATCTCCAAACACATTCCACATGAGCACAACACAGGAGAAGCAAATGAGATAAGAATTGTTTTCCTTTTCTCTGAGGCTTCTCAGCTTCCCAGGAGAAAAATCCTGGGTGAAGGAATTTTTCCAGAGAATGTGAATGCCACACACAGGCACAACCCGCTGGCTGCCTTCCTCAAAGCATTATTGATTTTATCAGCATTAGCTGAACAAATCTGCATTCTGAGATGGGAGAACTTTCTGGACTCTCCATCCATCAGAGTTTTTGCATGCCTGCCAAAAGATGGGCAGTTCAGCAAGAGGCTCAAGTGTGACACCTGATCCTGGCTTCTGGGTGAAGGAATCACGTTCAGAGGTTGTGAGTGCCACAGATGAGGGCTAAGCAGCCCTGTTTGCTGAGGTACCTGTGTTTTCTCAGAGGAGAGCCTCATGGCTTCCATGAGCTTCTCCATCTGGTGTCCCTGCTCCAGGGCGTTGCGCAGCACGTCCTCAGTGCTGACGAGCCGGTGCTGCAGCCGGATCACCTCCGACTCCGAGGAGGGGTCGATCAGCGAGAAGCGCCGCTGCTCCGGCGCCGCCTTCTCCTTGTCCTGGGGCAGCACAGGGAAAACGGGACAGTGTAAGAGCCTGAGTGAGGGATGGGGGACTCCAGGCAGTCTCCAAAATGCAGTTTATTGTATCCAAGGTGTTACAGCAGTGCAGGGTTGTGGGTGACAAGAGCTGTGCCCACAGCCGTCAGCTCCAGCTGCAGGCAGGCCTGGAGACCCTGAGTTTAGGTAGCAAATGCATTCTATACTTTTCTTTTGGTTACAATGCATTATAGACTTTTCTTTGCTGAGCATCTTAATACAGCAGAACCAATCTATACCTTAACTATTATCTACAGCCTATCATAGCTACTATAATTACCATATTCATGTCACTGTTCTCCAATCACTAGAAGTTACTATATTATAGTTTAAGCTAGAAGTTGTTTTTCAGTTTTCTTGCAGTGGAAAATTCTGAGACCTTTTTTCTACTTGCAACATTTGCTGACTTGTTTGCCTGTGCTCTCTTTCTGCTTGGTAAAAACATCTTCTTGTTTGAGGTGGGTTTATCCTTTGTTCTAAGCCATAAAAACCCTTCTAACTAACACACCCTTTGCCTCCTTGGTTATCCAGTGAGACTGGCTCAGCAATTCTTTTCTTCTATATGAAAACTTGCTTCCATCTCTATTCCTTCATCAGATTCTACATTCAAAAATCTTTCTGCTAAGCACACATATCTGTGAGACTTTCTTGTCAAACTTTCATCCTTCCCAACAGGGGATATTACAGCAAAACCAAGTATGGCCAGGTGGGGGCTCTGTACAAATCACAAACAGGACAGGACTGCTGGGGAAAGCATCTTGAGCTGTTTTATTTTCCAGCATCATTCTCATTACATGGTTATGACAATGGGAAGATGCCATCAGCTCACATCCCAGGCAGCAGACCAAGAACTCAATTTTACAACTCACTTTAAAAGTTTTTTGACCAATTGTGGAAACCCAGGGCACTGGGAATATTTCTCTGTCTGCTCTGGGTTGCCCTGACTCCTAGGGCAGCACTGACTTTGACCCTCATTCATGGAGAAAATCTCCTAGGCTTCAAGAGGGACTGGAATCCACAAAAATGTGAAATAGATTATAGAGAGCAGTTTAGGTGCATCACTTGGTGAGAAATTTAGGTTTGGGTATTTTTAATATGTTGTGGATGGAAGCAAGATGGAGGGCACAGGGTGTCATCCTGGGCTTCTTCTCCATGCTTCTTCTTCTTCCTTCTTCTTCTTGGGTTTGGGTGGCATTTTGTAATTGGGCAGAAAAGTCTGCATTGGGGGCTCTTTGGGATCAGTTATTGGGTTAAAAGGGAAAATAATCCAGGAGTCAGCTCTTAATGGCATAGTTTAGTCTTAAAAGACCTTGGAAAAAAAGATTGTTGGCCATTTTGTGCCTTCTAATGAAAAGCTGCCCAACTCACAGTAGTGAGGCTGTTTTACTGATATGAAATGATAAACACCTGAGTCTGAACATGATCTGTCATCTCAAGTGCCTTCAATCCAGACCCAGAGAAACCACAACTGGAACCACCACAACCAATCACACAAAGCAAAAGCACATTGACAGTAGTTCTATCCAACCACTATAAGCACACGTACCTTTGGTTAAACAATGCTTGCTTATTTCAAATACAATACCTGCTTGTGAGTCTTAAAACACAACGCACAGAGCTTCATTATTAAGCTTAGAACTTCCTAATACCTCACTAGATATACTTTTCTGTAGCTTAGGGAGTTATTCTAGGTAAATGTTAATGCACAGACCACTGTTCTATTTGTCCTTACTTTTCTACTTCTTACATAATTTTTCTGCTGACCAATCTTATGGGTATTGCTTAGATCCAATCACAGTTCTGCTGTCTCTGAGGCCTGCCTCTTGCAGCTTTCCCAAAACCCTGTGATTTTAAGGATTCTCACACCAAGAGCTGCAGAAAGTCAAGGTATAAATCTATATAATGCCTAGAACCACGCTGCAATTTCAGCAGCAGATGGGGCAGAGCACAGCTCAGATCAAGTGACCAGGAGCAGCTCCAGTTTGTTCCCAGCACTTCAAATAAATTATTCACATCTCAGCCACTGGAGGACGTTGAAGTACACGGGAATTTGAGGACACTGCTTATTCTTGGATCAGAGAATCTGTAAAACAGGTGGGGTAGCTGAACCACCTTCAGTTCCTCCCACAAACTGCAGCCCTATTTAGCCATGGATCTAAAACCTGAACAGAAAAATGCTGGAGAAGGACACAGGAGGCTACAGCTTCCTCATGAGGGGAAGCAGAGAGGCACACATTGACCTCTGTGACCAAGGACAGGAGCCAGGGAATGGCCAGAGCTGTGCCAGAGGAGGTCCAGGTTGGAGATCAGGGAAAGATTCTTCCCCAGAGGGTGCTGGCACTGCCCAGGCTCTGCAGGGAATGGGCACAGCCCTGAGGCTGCCAGAGCTCCAGGAGCCTCTGGACAATGCTCCCACCAGGGTGTCCTGAGCAGGGCCAGGAGTTGGACCTGATGATCCTTGTGGCCTTTCCAACTGGGATATTCTGTGATAAATTACATGTGGGTTTCTTTGCTGCATAATGAGGTGCTGCTAAGCTCAGTCACTGTCAAGAGAATCCCCATCAGATGCTCAGCAGGACACAAGAAAACACAAAGACCTGGAGCAAGAGTGAAGGGCTCAGACTCCCCACTCCCCTCCGCAGTACAGAGCCCTCCAGCCCCTAGGCTGTGCCCAGGATTGTCAGAAATAAATTTATAAAAGTTTTTAAAGTTTAACAGAAGGTTATATAAGGTTATACAGCCAGTATATAAGGTTACCTTATATACTTCACTATACACAACAAACAATAAACAAAACCATGAAAAAAAGGTTTTCCTATCCAAGAGAGAGGGGAAAATGTAGGAAATAAATACTACAAATGAAACTAATAAAACAAAATCTAAAACTAATAAAACACAATAAAAACTAATAAAACAAAAGAAAAAACTAATAAAACAAAAGAAAAAACTAACAAAACAAAATGAAAACTAATAAAACAAACTACAAATAAAATGAAACACTTTAGAAAATAAAACTAGAAAACATACATTGTAGTGGGACCCATGAAAATAGTTTTAAATAATTAAGACATCTACAGCATGATGAAAGAAAAAACTAATGAACCAAGAAACACTTATAGTGTATTGTAATTTAAAAATAGTTAACTTGTAATTATAATAGCATCAATGACACAATATATAGTGTATTGTAATTAAAAAATAGTTACCTTCTAATTATAATATAACATCTATATTATCTCACCCTTCTCATAAAACTAAAAATTGAATAAAACTTTTTAAAAACCCCTCTCAGCTACCCCATGTCTGGCTCAGGAAAGGCGCATTATCCAACACAGGATGGGTTTCAGGGCCCTCACCAGCACAACCAGTTTCTCCCGCAGCCCCTTGATGTCATCCTTGAGCTTCTGCTCCTTCAGCCTCCACTCAGCCTTGTGCACCTCGCGGCTGAGGTCGCGCTCCGGCCCCGGCGAGTGCCGGTTCGCCTCCAGCAGCAGCGCCCGCAGCTCGTTCAGGCTCCTGCCACAGAGAAACAACAGCCACTCCTTGCTTTAAAATGTTCAAAGTTCAGTATGGTTGTAAAAATGGTAATATAATTAGAGCAGTAAGAATTTGGGCAATCAGAGGTAGGATGGTAAAAGCAAAGAATTATGAATGTTGGGATGCTTTCCTCTTGAAAACAAAGGATCCTCACTAACAAAGGACTAACCCTTAAAAGCAATAGGCTGTTGCATATTCATACATGGTTCAAAAATTCTTTTCAAACAAAGGGTGTTTTCTGGTTATTGTCAACTTTCCCCCCCTTCATCTTGTTAATCATGGTCAGACTCTATAAAGTCTTCAAGCAGACTGGTTCTTCACCATAGGGAGGCAATAATTCTTCTCTTTGGGATCTTAGTGTCTTGTTGCTGTTATCTGTGCAAAGAATTTCTTGATTGTCTGATCTCTTTCTTGAGCTAGTTAAAAAGTATCTTACATGGCATAGTTTATATTTTAACATTATGTTATAACCTAAAACTATATTTAACACACTACTTAAGACAATTAATACAGCATAACTTTCTAACATAGCAGATATAATATTAATTTCAATATTTGCAAAAAGCCAATCATGTAATACACATTTTTCACATGCATGCAGCAGCAGGAAGAGATGAAGACATTCCCAGAGCCCACACACCACTGGAGCCCTGCTGTGCTCCCTCCCACCTTTGCTACAGATCCAAAGGAAGGCCAAAGTGAGCAAATCTGACCCAGCTCCCACCACTCTTTTCTTGTCCCACTTTGCCAGCTCTGAGACTGGCACTGCACAGGCACTGCTTGAGCAGCCAGCCTGGCTGGCCTGTGGTGACTTCATTCAGCATCTCCTCTGAGCTGCCTTGCAGCTCCTGGCAAGCAGTGAAAGGGCAGTGCCTTTTGAGAATTCACAGCCTCTAATTCCAACCAAATTCACACATCAGCATCTCTAAAGAAAGGGAAAGCTGTGGGCTGGATGAATATTCACAGAGCCCTCCTGTCTGCAGCTCTGTCCTCCAGAACCTGCACACTGACCTTTCCTTCTTGAGCAGCTCCTGGCTGATCAGGACCAGCTGCCCTGAGGCATCATGTGTTTTCTTGGTCAGGGCTTCCAGTTCTCCTTCCAGCCTCTTCTTTTCTTTGAGCACTGAATCAGCCTTCTTTTCTGCTGTTTTGCATTTGTTTTCCAAAGCTATGAGAAGCAGAGGATTCAGGGGAAGAAAGGTCACTTCGTTCTTGACTTATATCCCTGTTCTTTACCTTTTCCCAACTCCTACTCCTAAAAGCACAGACATAATTAACTCTTGGCTGGCTGTAGCTAAGGGGACACACCCAGCTCAACTAACTTCATTAACTTTACACATAAACAACCCCAAACCCTCCCTCACAGGACACTAATATCTGCTGCAGTTTGTGTTCAATTCCTGAATTAATTTCTACCAGCAACAGCCATTCAAAAACCAGCAGAATCATGTTTTACATCAGCCTATTTCAGCTCTAGGCTCTTGTTCAACACCAGGCTGTGGGACAAGCAGGGAAATATTTCATTCCCCCCAATGCTGGATTAGGGAAACTTACCACTTACTTGGGCCCTTAGAGTTTCAGTCTGGGTCACCAGGGATGACACCTCTTTGTCTCTTTTACTCAGCTTGTCCTGGAGGTCTGTGGGGGAATGAAAAGACAAGGGTGAGAGGGCTGGAAAATGGTTTGTGCAAACTGGGAAGGTGTCAGGAGCACAGCATGGGCCAGGGTGCAGTGGCACCATGGTAGTGCATTCCTGTTGGCACAGGGACACTGCATCCCACCACACGGGGAGTGGGGTGACTCTGGGACGTTGTATCAGACATGGTTAGGAAAGCAATCTCAAGGAGGAGGGGGGAAAGGCAACAAAGCACTAATTAAAAAAACTCAACATGAACTTTCAGCACATTTCTTTGTGTCACCTCCTACAGTGGAAGGCAGAGACTGTTTCAAAAGACATATTTTCTGGAACTGATGCATTTCCATGCTCAGAGCTGCAGATCTGAAGTGTGATGCTTTTGTGGCTCAAATCTGACCTGGCTGTTTTCTGAACATCTTTCTGGGGTTTATTCAGTGTGGAAACAATGCACACGTGGACTGAGTGGCCATTCAGAGCAGTGGCTGTTGGCTCTAATTAAAGGCAGGAATTACCTGTCAATCAGCAAACAATTTGGTGCAGAAACAGAATAGTTTGGTTTGAAAAGGAACTTAAAGATCATCTTGTTCCACACCCCTGATTTGGGCAGAGACACCTTCCACCATCCCAGGCTGCTCCAAGCCCTGTCCAACCTGTCCCTGGGCACTTGCAGGGATGGGATATAACATGAATGTGTTCTACAGAACCCCATATCTGCAAAAACAGACAAGGCTTGAGGGCAATGGAAATAGGACAAAAATACCTCTGAATCCAGCTCTGCTACTGCCCAGACTCACTGTTACAGCTCACAGTGAGGGGGCTGAGTGCAGTTCAGGTTGAAATACACATTGTACAAGTTTCCTGAGTCTGTAAGTCTCACATTTTGTTAAAAGGATTGACTTGATTTACAGTGAGCTTAATAAAAAGTAACTATCGTTATTTGAAGCCAGTCACATTTACATCTAATAACTCCTCTTCTGTGAGCAAATAACATTTAATTAAGGTCTGAATTTTACTTGCTGTGAAAATGAGTGAAGGATTGGAAATGCACCTATTTCCCCAGATTTGTCTCCAACCTGCACCATCTGCATGGAGAGTATCTAACACAGGTAAAAACATCCACCTCTGTATATGCTCAGCTTGATTAGAAGGGAAAAACAAATCCAGACAACAAAAGCCATTGGGCAAATTTTGACAGATGAAATGTCCTCCTAAACCCCTGCCATGCAGCCATCCCTGCAAGAGCAGAAAGTTGGAAGAAGAGAAAGTTTACAAGTCAGTAGAACAGGATAAAAATAATAGTTTCATACCTTCCATAGTCTCCTTCATCTTTATCTTTTCTTCTGAAATATCATTAGTCTCAATCATCTGGAATAAATGTAAAATATAAGATATAAACTAACCCTTTACCCAAAAATAAGCAGAAGTTAACAACCACAAAGCCCCATCCAAAGCAGAATGCATCCCCTGTCCAAGTTAGGATGCTTTACATCCTTCCCAAGAGGGAAATAAAGGCTTTTTTGAGGAGCCACTTGTCCAGCTGGGGCTGCCCAGAGTGCCCAGACACAGCCCCCAGGTGAGCTCACCTGCAGGATTCACCCAGGAGGGAGCAGAGCTCAAGTTCTCCCCCAGGTTCTGGTTCAGCCCTGCACACACACAGGGATGCAGCAGCTGCTGTCCCCCTGACCAGGCACCTCTGGCCAATCTCAGCAAACAGCCAGCTGCAAATGCCCTCAGCATGCAGCTTGACACCTACCAGTCAGCAAGTTCCTCAACTTCTGCAGAACCTAGCTGTGCCCTAAGTTATAAAAAGGTTGATAAAACAGTAATTTATTAAAGAACTAATGCATTCGTAAAAATAATAACAAAGCAAATGCCGTGCCCATACAGGGGATTCTGCTTTTTCCCCACCCTCTTTTCTATATTGCAATGAAAAGCCAGAGACTACAGAGCTTCCAATGCCAAGCTTTCTGTGGCAGAGGCCACAACTGAGCCCTTCACACCTCTCCCATCCAGCAGCCTTTGTTGGTTCCTCAGCACATGCCCAGAGCCAGCAGCTGCTGTGGCCACCAAGAGCCCCAAGGCCAGTTCTCTGAACTCTGGGCTGTGGGACAAGTCAAACAGAGCAGGAGAACCCTCACAGGATAAATATGTTTCCTGATGTACTTTTGGTATGGAAAAAACTATTTAATTGCTCCTGGGAAGCAGATGAGGCTCTCCCTTGAAGGTCTAGGAAAGGCTGTCACAGGACACCTTTGCTTGTTTAAAATAACTTGGACAGTGAATACTGCAGTTACTTTAAATTAACTAAGACAATTTTAAATAGAACTTGCTCCATGGTACTCAAAGGCTTTAACCCATGCATTTCTTCCCATATTCTCCTGATTTTAATTGACACATAGCTGAAATAATTACTTCAAGACTTCCCTGGTTCTAATCCAGTATTGATATCCCCCAGAGCCCTTCCATTTATCTAAAGGGCTCTGGAACAAGACTCCAGCTCCCTTTCCATTCATTCCTGTTTGAATATTGGCTATAATGTGTTACATGTTGTAATAACAACTCCTTTTTCCCAGAGTCCTGGCTGTACTTATTGTTCCCAACTGTCCTTATTGGCTGAAACATCCTGGAGCAACCCTTCAAACACCATTAATGCTGGAGATTCCTCCTCAGCCTTTGCCTCTGTTGTCCTCTGTGTGCCTATTTCCAAGGTGTGCAGTTCTGACTTAGACAGCATGGAATTCATGGCTTGGCTTTGCTCCCTGGAGGTGCAACTGCTTTCAGTGGGGCTGCTCATGTTGGGAAATTAAACACAGGCATTGAATTAATTTCATTGGCATCTCTGTCTGGAAGAGAAACTACATCACCACTGAAATTTCAACGCAGTATTCTTCAAATGTGCACATTCTAAAGCTTATTTTAATTTTATGCATCCCCACAGGATGTGAATTGGGTTTTTCCTCATTTTTCATGCAAAATCCACTCACAAATAGGGGCCCAGCCCCTCATGAGTAGCAATCTCCCTGCTCACTACAGTGCAGAACCAGCCACGATCCCTTGTGCCACACACAATGGCAGGATGATGCATCCTGTGGCAAATACTCAAAAAAAAACCCCAAAAAACAAGGTGACTTGGACACAAAGGCCACAGTAAATTGACCCCTTCATATGACTGCTCTTATTTCAGCCCTCCTTGGTCTCATATTGAATCAGGCATTTTATTTCCCCAGCCTGGTGCCATTCAGACCCTTTCTGGCATCTTTTCCACTCTAACCCTCAACAGCAGCATTTCCCTGTCTCCCACAGGTGCTGTGGAGCCCCTGCCCTGCTGCTGACACAGCCTCACCCATCCCACAGTGCAGCACTCACTGCACCTCTCTTGCTCCAGGTGCTGAGCAAGGATGACTCTTTTTCCACCCTATCCTTCTAGAACCCCTAAAGAGCCTTGCCCAACAGCACACCAAGGCTGCTGCAGCTCCTTGCAGGAATTCATTAGAGAATAAATCCAACTGCATTGCAGGAATGATGGTTTTCCAGCTCAGAACATGCTTGCTCAGCATAAGAGCCCCACCCTGACAAACCATGACAGTGCTGGTCTGCTCCTACAGCAGCCTCCAAACCCAGGTGTGACCCCACTTGCTCCTTTTCCTAATTGTCCCACTGTCCCATTGGCTTTCTAGAGTGGACTGACACCTTCAACCTGGAGATGCAGTGCAGAAAACACTGTTAGTGGAAGAAAAAAACATCCAGATATTTGAATCCTCAGAAAACTGCACAAGGCAGTGGCTGAACAGTTACCAACAGTGATAATAAACAGCAAAATGACCCCAAAGTCATACATTTGCATGCTGAGAAGGATGCAGGGCCTCCATGGACTGCAGCTTGTTCTCTAAGACAAGCACTTTTTCCTGCAATCTTTGGATTTCCTGTTTGCTGTGGGCTTCTGTTTTCTGTAATGTTTCATAGTCCAACATCTTCTTTTCAGCCAAAGATATCTGCTCTTTCAAGAAAGCTATTGCTTCTGTCTGATCTGTGTATTCACCATGAAGTTTCTCCAGTTCATGCACCCTCAGCTCAGCATCTCGACACTTGTCCTTCACATCCTGGAGCTCGAGAAGGTGCTGACTGCTTTTGGTTTCCAGTTGCATTTTCCAGTTGCTGTTGCTTTTTTCCACCTCATCCAAAGCCTCCTGCAGCTTCAGCTTGAGACTCTCCTTCTCCTTTATATGGACAGCTGTCTCGATGTCGTGCTTTGCTTTCAGGTTCTCCAACTCAAGCTGGTGCTCCAGCTTTATACTCTCCACCACTGCCTTCAGCTCCACAATCTCCTTGTGCTGGGTGTCAGGGCCTGAGTTGAGCGTGGCTTTCAGGTCCTCCAGAGACTTCTGGTGGTCAGAAGCTAACGTGTCCAACTTGGACTTCCAGTTGTCCATGAGCCCCATGTTCTCATTAGTGGCCTGCTGAACTTTATGCTTTAAGTCCACAATCTCCTGCGAGTACTTCTCATTGACAGACTTCAGCTTCTCCATCTCCTGCTGGTACTTCTTTAGCGTCTTCTCATACTTCTCCTTCAGCTGACTGCTCTCCTTCTGGTGCTCCTTGTTGGCAGAGAGCAGCTGATCCCTCAGCCTCAGTGCCTCTGAGTGCAGGCCCAGGCTGTGCTCGGGGCTCTCTGCCTGCTGCGAGCTCTGCAGGCACTGCCGGAGCTCGTCCACCTCGCTGCGCCTCAGGCTCAGCTCCTCCTCCAGCTGCAGGATCCGGGACTGCTCCGCCACCGTGGTCAGCTGCAACACCACAAACACAGGGTCAGTGCACCCCTCATGGCCACACCTTCCCCCCAGCAAGAGTTCTCCAGTGGAAATAAATCCAAAGTCCATCAGTCAAAGTTCAGAGGAAGAGGTGGAGAGCACCTGGTGCCCTCCAATCTGTCACCCTGATTTTTTAAGATTTTCTAAGCCTTCTGATGTTGACATTCTTGTAGCGAACTTTCTCACACACTTTCTGTAAATAACTCTTTGTTTTGCATTCGTTTATGGAAGAAGAGAAAGTTGATGGACTGTTGGTTTGTCCAGTGTCATTGGAGAGGTGGCACTGTCACCCTCCAATGCACTGTCACTCTTGGAAAACTATAAATGTTGGAGTCAGAAAATAAACTTCCCTTTTTTCTTCACCTCGAGAACAGCGGTGTGCACTTGTGTTCTTTCGTGTCCTATAGCGACACCAACCTGAGCAGTTTTGCACCAGCATAACTGTCACCCTGATTTTTTAAGAGTCTCTAAAATCATAGATTCTGATGTTTACATTCTTGCAACACACTTTCTCACACACTTTCTGTAAATAACTTATTGTCTTGCTTTCTTTTGTGGAGGAGAAGTGTTGTTATAGGACACAAAACAACATGAGCGCACACACTGCTGCTTTTAAGGTGAAGAAAAAGGGATGTTTATTTTCTGACTCTAACATTTATAGTTTTCCAAAAGTGACAGTGGATTGGAGGGTGAAAGTGCCACCTCTCCAATGTCACTGCACAAACCAACAGTCTATCAAATTTCTCTTCTTTTATAAGAATGCAAAACAATAAGTTATTTACAGAAAGTGTATGAGAAAATTCATTACAAGAATATACACATTAGAAGGCTTAAAAAATCTTAAAAAATCAGGGCGACAGAGGAGAAATTTGATAGACTGTTAGTTTGTCTAGTGTCATTGGAGAGGTGGCACTTTCACCCTCCAATCCACTGCTACTTTTAAAAATCTATAAATGTTAGAGTCAGAAAATAAACTTCCTTTTTTTCACCTTGAGAGCAGCAGTCATGTTTCGTGCCCTATAGTGACAGGCAACCAGCACTGACAATTCACAGTTATGTCTGTGCCAATTGCAATTTGTTTTTTCCTAATACAAACCTCTTGCTTTCCACAGAAAAACACCTTGGAAATAACCCTTGAAATTCACTAGGGAGCAACAGTGGTTTATGAAAAATAATGTCCTGGATGGGCATTATGTTTCCAGACCAGGCATCTTGCCAGATGATGCACAGAGGAGATGTGACTGCACATGCAGGAATTCACAAGCATCAAAACCAGCATTAAGCATATCATGTTTCCTTTATTGCTCAGCAATCCTCAGCCTGCAGACCTCTCTTCTGTGACAGAATTTGTTTACCCTGGTGTAAAAAGGAAAAGGGATTTTGACATATGAGTGCTTGTTAGAGTTTATTAGCAAAGTCAAAATAACAAAGGAGGCTAGAGGATGCAAGACAATAAATCTGGCCATGGTACACATTGAGCTTAAGGGCTGTGGGTCCATGTTTTGCCATCTGAATGCAACCTGGCAGGGCTGAACTCCCTGTGAGTCACAGGGAGTACAGGGTGCTGCCACTATGGATGGAGAAGAGGATGGAACATTAGAAAAAGGCAAAAGAAAGAAGGAAACCAAGCCAAACTCCAAGAGCTCAATTTCACTTCATTTCAATTGCCACTTGCCCAGCAGCAATTAGCCCAGGAGGCTGCTGGTCATTATTTCAGATGGGCACAGGGGGCTTCAAACCATCCAGACCTTTTAGAGACCCTCCCATTGGTGTTTCCTACAGCTCTCAAACCCATTACTGCTCACTGCAGCAAGTTTGCTGCTTCCCACACCACACCAGCATGAAAAAGCCCTCTCCACATCTGGCTGCTTTTAGGATTCCTCTGGGCAATCGGTCCTATTGCCCATGGCCAAGGATCAGAGTGGGCCCAGCTGCATCCACCAGCACCTTCCCCTTCAGATGGCAGCTCCCACAACTGGCAGGGGAGACTGGAATGTTGATTGCAATGTTATTTCCTCTTACAGCCTGGGGGGGCTCAAAGCAGAATGAATTGTGCAGGATATTATTGGGATATGTTAATTGAAAAATGAATTGTAGGAGCTCATGTGTCAGATGGTGGCATGGGGCAGAGAAGCAAGCTCAATCTGAGAAACGAGTTCCCCATAAGAGAAGCAAAGCTAGAAATCATATCATACTATTACTTCTGGGAAAGAGAGCAAACAAAAAACCAAACAAAATCAAGGAAGCTTAAGTTCAAGCCAAAATCAATCAACCCCACAAAAACCAAAAGAAAGAAACCCAAAGCAAGGCATGATGAGCACCAGGGCAGTGCAAGCGCTGTCTGCAGGCAGGGCAGGTGAGGGTGCATTACCCTGGTGTCCTCTAATTCTCTGAGGAGTTTTTCAGCCTGTGCCTTCTCAAACAGCAGGCTCTGCTCGAGCTCCCGAATTCGGGCATGCTCCAACTGCGTCTGAGTCTGCTCACACAGAGAGAGAAAAGAACAGTGGAGAGGGGAGCAGGGGAGGGAGAGAGAAAGAGAGGGGGAGAGAGAGAAGGCTGCAACATCATCTCCAGAGAACAAGACAAGGAAAGGCTGTTCACAACAGGAGAGAATAAAAACCCAGACAGGGAGGAAAAATCCAACCAAACAGGAAACGGTCCCTGTGGGATTTTACATGGTACTGGTAGTGGCTCTTCACAAGAAAAGTGAATTTGTGATGGGAAGACATCCTTCTCCTCCAGTGTCTTCCTGCATCAACTGGAGACACTTCCTAAAAAGCAAAGCTCCCACCAGTACAAGGCCCTTGTACAAACAGATAATGCAAGGATGTTGCAATGATTCTCCACATCTTTCCTCAAGAGGAGTCACAAGGCAGACTGAAAAGAGCTGTAAGTTCCCATCCTCTTTTTGCTCTGGAGACAGTGAGAATCCTACACTAAGTGGGAAAAAAAACCCAGGTCATACTGTGCATGGCATGTTGTAAAACAAAAAATACACTGCACTGAATAGATCAGGGAATTGTGATCTCAATCTGTTCTGTAAATCAGTGCTTTGAGATTGAACAGGCCAGACATGAATTTCAAAGTGACTTCTGTACAGTAGGACTCTATTAATTTTGGCACAAGAAAACAGAACTTTTTTGGTTGGTTGGTTGGTTGGTTGGTTTTGGGATTTTTGGTTGGTGGTTTGTTTTCAAGGCTGTTTTTTCTTTTTTTTTTTTTTGACAAATGATTCAACTAAGCACAAGAAGTTCATTTTATGTACCCAAATCCAGGAGCACTGGCTCTGGGCATTGCTTCAGTGCCCTTCACTTTAAAGCTGAAATACCATAAAGCTGCACTTGGTAGCAAAGCTCAGCAATCCACAACCACCACTGTAAAATCATGTAAAATTCCCTATCAATAAAAGAGGAGAGGAGACATGGGAAGGTGCATGCACACTCTGGCCTTCACATTTTTTTTAGCTAAAAAACCCACATTTTTCTTAGAATCAAACTTAATTAATCTATCAAATAAAAAAATTAATCTAGCAAAAAAGCAAATAAACCTGCTCAGAACCATTTTTATCCCCATTTTTTGCCCTTCAATTTCCATATAATTATTTGCTTCCCCCCTCTTTCTATTGGAGCCAGTTTTAAGGATTTTCTGCCCTTCCCTACAATAAATCAAGCCTTGCAAGTTTTGTACAAATTCTAGAAACAGAAGTTTTTAAAAAAATCCATGTTTTAGGCTTGCAAAATACCATTGTACATGTGTATTCATAGATGGTGACATAAATGCCATTTATATTCAGATGGCTCTGTATTTTATGTGCCTTATTTAACCCTGAAGGAGGGGAGAAAAAAATGTGGATTCAAAAACCCAAATATTACCAAAACCCCAAACTATTTAACCTAAGTGTAAAAGTTGGCTTATTGCATCCTAATTAAAAAAAACCAGGCATTTAATTCATTAAATAAAATTAATTCTGCTCCCTATAAAGCCCAAAGATTCACATCTTGAGAGGGAGCTCCAGGATTGATTTTACTAAAAAGAATAAATATTCTGTTGATACCAGTTAATTAACTGATGGCAGCACATCAGATATTTGCTGACCTATTACAAAACTCATCTCAGGACTTCTCAAAGAGATTCTCTCCAGGCTCCTGAGGTTAACACAAGTGCCCAGTCAAGCTGTCAGTCCCACCTGATATTCTTGCTCAGTATCTATTAATCCTGTTATTTTCCAACTCTGAAAAAACAGATGAAAATAGAGGGGAAAAAACCATAGAAAAAAATTAGATTAACTGTTTTAGAGTCCTTAAGTCTTAGGTTTACATCCAATCCTGTGTTATTTTATGTAAATTGGTTTGCTAGTATTAGCCAGTATGAGTCACAACCTCACATCCAAATTTTCCCTGCACTTTGAGGAAGCCCAGATATGAATTTCAGATTTATTTGTAGCTATTAGCCTTAAATTACTGTTCACAAACTATAAACTGACTTCCCACTGGCATTCAAGGCATGCTGCAGGATGCAGGAGATGAGCATGAGAGAGTTCCTTGATGAGGATAATACTTCCTGTAAACCATGGTTTTCCACCACAATAAGTCTTTCCCGAAAGCTTTTTCCTACATTAGCTTTTTAACTTCCAAAGCTCTTGAAAGCTTTTCCTGCATTTGTTTTTCATCTCCCAAATCACTACAGCATCAGCTGCCAAGCAGGATCAAAACTGGGTTGAAATCATAACTCCATTTCAGGGCTAAGTCCACAGCTGCTCTATCAGAGGTCCAAAACCTTGATCTCTCTCTATCTTCAGGCCACCAACACATTTTTTTCTCTCAGTTAATTACTTGCTTTTGGAAAGCTTAACTGTCTCCACAAAAAAGCAGGAAGGTGAGAATTTACTCTGGTGGGTCAATCATTCAGTCTGGACATGCAAATCAGTAGATAAGATGTAAAATCTGGCCCCAGCCAAGCCTGTGCTGGGACTGATGCTGGGCTCATGGAGAGCATGCCAGTTCCCTGGGTCAGGGGAAATCAAGCATTCCTAAATTATTTGTCCTTTTGTACAGTCCAGCATGGAAGGGAGGACAGAACCGCAATGTCCTGCTGAAAGCTTGGCCATATCCCCATTGCAAAACAATTCCTTCCCAGCCCAAAGGAAAAATAAATCCAAGACTGTGAGTCCCAAACTGAGAATGGGAGCCCTTACCCATAGCAGTTTATCATCATGGTGGCTTTAAAAAAAAATAAAAATCCAAATATACCAAGCCTGGTCCCATTGCCATAATTACACAGCCAGGCTGAAACACTTGGAGCTTACAAAGGGACAATTCACTGCTCCCAAAGGGAGTGATGCATGCACCAACCACCCTTCCCTAGGGCACTGTGGGAAAGCTGCCAGCTCAGGGATGAACTGAAATCTGATTTTGCTCCCACACAACAGGCAGAAACTGCACTTGCTGTGCTCCCACAAAGGTCTGCTAGCAGTGCATTGCTGATTTACACCCTGTCAAACATCTCCTTCAGCTTCTGGATGAAGAAGAGAGGCTTGTGCCAACAGGATCACAGCCACAGCAATATATCCATTTCCCAGTTTTCCCATTTTCCTGGGCTTTTGTTGCTATGAGTGACAGTGAAGCACAGGAGCAGGGCCCTTGACATTTCTGGCTGTTACTAACCTGGCACTCCTAAAGCTAAACAGACAAAAAACTCCCTTGATTTACATTTGGAGAGCAGAGCCTTGCTTCCACAGAAGGATTTTCTGTTCCCTTTTCTCCATGGAAAAGTCTCCCACTCAAGGGCCAACATCACTTCATCCCAGCATCCCTTCCAGCCTGCACAATCCTCACTGCAACAGCATCCCTGAGCAACAGCCCTTCCCAGGGGCAGGGTTTAAGGATTTTCTGCCCTTCCCTACAATAAAGCAAGCCTTGCAAGTTTTGTACAAATTCTAGAAACAGAAGTTTTTAAGAAATCCGTGTTTTATGCTTGCAAAATATCATTGTACTTGAATTTATAGATGGTGACATAAATGCCATTTATATTCAGATGGCTCTGTATTTTATGTGCCTTATTTAACCCCTGAATGGGGGGAGAAAAAGATGTGTATTCAAAAACCCAAAATTATCCAAACCAAGTGCCAAACCCACACTCCAGGCAGTGAATTCCACATGAGGATACCTCAGCATAAACAGCATTTTGGCTGGAATTACACAGCATCAATTCAGGAGACTCTATGTGCTCATGAGCTGCTGAGAGCACGACACCTCAGGGACAGGAACTGAACTGTCAATTCATTTCTAGGGTGGAAAAATGTAAGTTCAACACATTCAGACACAGATTTTCACATGGTTTGGCAACTCAGAGTGACAGATGAACTCCAGGCAGCCCCAGGTGTGAGCAGCCCTTGGGCACCACACCAAAGAACAATCCTCACAGCTCACAGCAGTAAATCACACAGCACATCAGGAAAGTATTGTTAGAGGGGACCAAAGGTGGCAGAAATTACTCAAGTGAGTAATTTCTACCACATCCAGAGTAATTTTTGCAACTCTGGATCCCACATTTTGGCAAGATCATAAGGAATTACCTCCAGATCCCCTTTTGTAATGGATTCTTCCTCCACACGGAACTGCAAGTCCTCCACTTTCCTGGGGAAGGAAAGGGACACAGAGCAATCAGAAGGACAGGGACACACAGAGCAATCAGAAGGACAGGGACACACAGAGCAATCACAATTCTCAGCTCAGCACCCTCTGTCTCAGCAGCCACTGCACATCAGCCTTTCCACTGTTAACCAAGTTCTATGGGATCACTGCAACCATCAATTGGAGAGGTCATTGCCAACAAATGGAAAAGCTGTCCAAAAAATTACTGATAAGCTTTTATCCATCCAATTAAATTTATAAATGTATTATACATACATTTATAAATTTAATTGGGTGGATAAAATTATGGCAGTGGGACCAGGGTTGGTCCCACTGCCATAATTACACAGCCAGGCTGAAACACTTGGAGCTTACAAAGGGACAATTCACTGCTCTCAAAAGGGAAGATGCATGCACCAATCACCCTTTCCTATTTATTTTATTATAAAAGAAATAAAATTAAATTAAAACCACCCACCCAATATTTAAAAAATCACATCATGGCCTGCAGAATCAGAGTGAGAGGGATTCAGATCACCTTTGGATACAAAAGCTCAGCAGAAACTGAGCAGCAAGCCCCATGGAGCAGGACAGTTACAAGCAGCTTTCCACACACAAAGGTGACCTTTTTGCAGGGTACATCCCCTCAGACACACAATTACTGTTCTCTGAAACAGGAGCCTAAAAAAGCAAAGCAAGGTTTCACTGGATTATTTAAACCTTGTTATCCAAGCACTGGGCAATTCCTGTGCCAAATCCATACAAAACATCCCAAGGGAATGGGATCCTCTGCTTCCTTGGCAGAGGGTGGGGAACTGTGAGCTACCCTGGCAGACAGAAGAGCCTTCCCCTTAGAGTTTACAGGCCAGTCATGCATAAATGCAATAAAACCACACACATTAACTCAGACAGGCCAAGGAAACTCTTCTCTTTTGGAAGGCAGAAGCCAGTAAGCAGTAGAAAATAATTCAATTTTCTGCTAGACTCATCCCTCTTTTTCTCTTTACTGATTATAAAGAAAAAGGCTGAGGATGTTTAGTTAGCAGGCAGATGTGAGGACTATGAGTCTGTTACAGATAAAAATAGCTGGGAGCGTACATAACTAACTTAATAAACAAGCTTCCTTGTCTAAACCTCCTCTAATTAGAGGAGGGAGGCATCTGTTGATATTTAGATGAAAACTCAGCTGTCTGGGGTTAAAGAGCCTCCTAGAGCTGGGAAAGTCAGCTGCCTACCAGGACTATGGGGAGACATGCATGCAAGAACATTTCATCCTCAGGAGGAGCATCAATAATTGAAATCAACACTGTTTTCAGTTATTTAATACACAGAAATGTTTTCCTATTCCCACTGAAGAGTTTAATTATACACATGGAGTACCTGGACTCCAAGAATGACACGCAGATCACTCTGCTCCAGAGGGGAAATGTGTGCACCAGGAGATTTGCATGGATGGGGGCCTCTGGCATGTGAATCACACTGCAGTGAGGCTGCACTCAGTTTGGCTTCCCTTCCTCACAAAGAACATCCTCAAGACCAGCCCATCATAAATGGAAGAGAGGAAGGGGACCTCAGCAAATCCAGGTTCTACAGGAGGCTCTGTGATGGTGCACGTGCCTGTTTATGACCCAATTTTTATTTCACAAATGTATGTGTATCCTTTAGGCAAAACCACCCAAAGGCTTCAGCACTGTCCACACATGACTTCACCTCCTCACACCCCTCCACTCCTGCTTTACCTCTTCTCCTCTTCCAGCTGGTTCAGCAGCTCAATCTTCTCTTTCTGCATCCCATCCACCAAGGCTCGTGCTCGCTGCAGGTTTCCTTCTGCCTCTGTGACATACTGGAGCAAAAAATGAGCCCAACACACAAAAATTAGCCATGCCTGAATGGCACAAAGCTGTTTAAGAAAGGGTCAGAACTAGGGAACAGAAAGTTTTGATGATCTGTTTCAGAGGATGCACATTTTCCAAAGAGCTCAGGATGTAGGGATTAAAACAACAAAAACTGCTCCATCTCCAGCAGCTGTAAGGGATCCATCCTTCAGTGTCTCTCTGACCTGACCCTTTTGGAGACTCCAGCTCTGATTAAAGAACTTGAAGCCTGAAAAGTTCTGAAAATCTGGTCAGAGGTTGCCAGTGCAATTCAGCCCCAGTCACAAAGCAAAAGAGACATTTCAGACTTCCGTTAATTTGTTACTGATAATTACTGGAAAACACAATACATGAGAAGAATGTCAGCTTGCAGCTGATTTCCCAATTTCTCCTGCATTTCTGACAGGCAGGTGTCACCCACCACACAAACATACAGTGCCATCCCTGCTCCCAGGTAGCTCACGTGGATTTAAAAGCATGAGTAAAGAATTTAGGGCAGCAGCAGATGATGAAGAACCACATACTGACAAATAGCACAGACACAACTCTCTTTAAGCATTTTAATACATAAAATATCCTCTGTACAAATGCTTGTGCAACAAACAAACAAACAAACACCAACCTAATATGATCAGCCTGTTTTCCTTCCAGATTTCCTGCCTTTATTAATTTTATGAAAGAATCCTCTCTGGTGGGAAAGCAGTGCCATATGAGCTGGGCTGATGTCCTCAGCACCATAAAATCACTGCAATGCAGTCCCAGCCACAGCCAGATTCAGTGGCTGAGGGGAACAAATTTGCATTTCAGCATTGGAATTTATTGATCCAGCAGACACAAACTGCCTGCTGCCTCTGATGTGGCACAGCCCTTTCCCTGCTCCTGGCTCAGGGCAGGGACAGCACATGTGACACTGGGAGGGAGGAGAAAGAGCCTCTGTAGGAATGTGGGTTTTGTTGACGGAGTGACAAAACTATTTTTTGTCCTTTCAAAAAGGAAAGAAGCTCAGAAGTTTCTGGTTTTGATTAAGTGGAAAAGTCACTTTATAGGCCTAGGGGACTTCACTTCAAACTTAAGGACAGCCAATTGGACAGAAGCTAAAAAGTCCAGCTTGGGCAATTTACTAGAAAAACAATTTAACAAAGAAACTAATTGCTTTTGGGAAGTGTTTTATCAGGAGCAAGAATCTTGAGCACTTGGCTCAGGTTTTGTTTGTTTGTTTGTTATTTTGCCTTTTATTAAACATTTTTGTTTCTAACACTGCAACAAAAGCCATCTTGCTGATTTTTATGCTTCTAAGGGTAGCTAAGCTGTCTTGGGTGTGTTATAGACCTCTGAGAGTTTATAAAACCTGGCTCAAAGAGGCAACTATAACACACCTCAGCTTAACTCAGCACAGAAAAGGCAGAAATTCAGAGCCCCAGTTTCACACACTGTGGTGATGAGACACAAACTTTAAGGAATTTAGAGATTTTAGAGGAGCGAAGATTTTAGTTAGAGATAAGCTTTACTGGAGTTAATTAAAGTAAATGGGTAGGCCTTGATGAAGTTAAGAGTTAGTAGTTAACTAATAACTGATTGCTTGTCAACACAATGTTTGGTTAGCTGGGTTTATAATGAAGAATATAGAAACTGATAAATGGCTTTTAGGAACATAAGACAATTGTGGCCTCCTCTGTTCTGAAACCAATTGAAGATGGGGAATGGGAGATCTACCAAGGGTTCATTTGTCATATCTGCATTGAAAAGGTAGAAAGGTCAGAATGAGGAAGACTTCACTTACTTCCTCATCTTGGGACCTCTCCCCATGAAAGGGACCACCAACTCATTTTGAGGAACAAACTATGCATGCTTAATAGCTTTTGAACTAATTACCATATGGGGCAGGGAATGGGATGTACCAAAGTGATGAATATGTATTTGTATTTTGGGTATTCAATACTTGTACTTGATAAAAGGACTCTGTATCACCTATAAATTGTGGTGTGTATTTGGAAGTTATCCCACAATAAATGTACACTTTCTATCTCTAAACTGTTAGAGAGTTTTTGTCCGTCACAGTTGGATATCAGCACTAGATCAATATCCGTATTTTTTAAATAAATCAGTAACATTATGATCTGACACATCCAGGGGATATCAAACATTCGGACATTAGACAGCTGTCACCTCCTACCTGCTCGTGCTGGGCCTTCATGATGGCAATCTCCTTCTCCACCTCACAGATGTGGCTGGTGGCCTTGGCCACCTCTGCCCTCTCCAGGTCCCGCTCTGCCAGCAGCTGCTCAATGTGCTGCTGCTTCTCCTTCAGGGCCTCCTGCAGCGCTGTGGTGCCAGAGATCTTCCTGGCATAGCGAGACGAGGTCTCTGTCAGCTGGGAAAGAGTTAAAAAGAGATGGGGTAATGTGGTGGTGTTTGAGGGTCCCCAGGACGAGGGAGGAGATGAGAATCTTGACGGTTTCAGAAGGCTGATTTATTATTTTATGATCTATATTATATTAAAAGAAAATTATACACTAGAACTATACTAAAGAAAGAGAAAGGAGACATCAGAAAGCTAGAAAAGAATGAATAATAAAATCTCGTGACAGACTCAGAGAGTCCGACACAGCTGGCATTCATTGGCCAATTATTTACTTAATTAATTAAAAACAATTCACATGAGACCAATCAAAGATGCACCTATTGATAAACCATCTCCAGACCACATTCCACAGCCATCAGATAGTTATTGTTTACACTTCTTTTCTGAGGCTTCTCAGCTTCTCAGGAGAAAAATCCTAGCGAAAGGATTTTCATAAAATATGTCAGTGACAGGGTAAAGCTGTGTCCTTTCCAGCCCAGAACAGCTGAAGTCCCCAGTTAAACCTGAAATGCTGCTCACCTAATGATCATTTATTCAGCTGAGGAGAGCTGCAGCTCCAGCTCTGGGCCCTACAGGGGAGGTGAAGTCTGAGAAACATCTGGACAATGCTCATAAGTTCAATTTCTCTTCTGCAGTGCAGTGACCACAGCAAGTCCCAAAGGACACAACATGGGGTGGGAACTGGGTCAGGGAAAATTATCATGCATTCTGTCATCTGCCTTCTTAGGTACATTTTATTGATGGCCTGCACTGATGAAATCCCAAAGATGAGCTCAGCTGGGTAGGCTGATCTCAAGTGGAGACCAGTTTGGGGTTATTTGATCCAATCCCAGGAATGACACTGCACCCTTGTCCCCAGCCAGGAGGGCTGTGGGTGTTCTGCAGCAACACCACAGCAGAGCCAGAACTTTTAATAGGATCACTGCCTGCTCTGCTTTCTGCCTGCTTGAGCACCTGCCAAAACCCCAGGCATGTGACCCAGGACATTGCCACCCTCCACAGTGAGACAGCCACAGCAGGAGCTTTGCACAGCTGCTCAGTGGAGCAGCATGACCATGTGAGACTGGAAGCAGTGTCCTTTTTCTGCAGGGATCCCTTATAAACCTGCTCTTGACAGCAGAACTGAGATTCATCCCACTGCAAACTGCACTCCAGGCTCTTCAGTGGTCTCAGCTGCTTGGTGTCCCTTACTAAGAGGGAGAGTGTGTGTCCGAGTCTCTGTGTCAGGACAACCCAGAGGTGTTAAAAGGTCTCATTTTCCAGCCTGGCAGTCAAAGGAGTCAGGATTCTTCTGTTCTGGTTCTCAAGGTTGTTTATTCTTTCTTATCTATAACATTCTTTCTCTGACCTGCTGAGATCTGTCTAGCAGGTTGGGTTGTGTCTCACTGACATCCTCAGGGCAGTGTTATCTTTTTATACTAAAAACCACGTGTACTTTATTTACAGTAATTTTCCAATACCTATCACCTATGTTAGACAGTCTGTCTCTACTCTCAACCAATCCAAAAGTGCCACCATCACAGCAGAAGACGGAGGACAACAAAAAGAAGAAAGACTGGACACACCCAGATTCCTCTATCTTGCCTCTTGGACCCCCATTCTAAAGACACCAAAATTCTACATTTTCACTCTGTGATAAATTTACTAACATTCTACTCGAACCCTTGTGGCTTGTTAATCTTCACACAAAGTTGTTAATTGTTTTTTCCATGGGCTAAAATCAAAGGCACAGGTGTTTGTGACTCTGTGCCAAGGTTTCTGAGCCCCCTGCCAGGGTCTCGAGTCAGAGCAATGTCCTGGGTTCTGACAGCTGTGAGGTGGGTGACAGCCCCACACTCCATTCCCCTCACCCCATGAATGGTGAAGGAGCAGCTGCACTGTAAGAAAGCCCCAACCCTCGTGTTTTGTGAAGCTGGGTCACAGAGGTGGAGTGAGCAGCAGAGACCCCCAGCAGTACTCACCAGCCCACTGCGGCTGGGCCTGCCCCCGACCGAGGAGGCCACGGAGCTGACGGAGCTGATGGAGGAGCTGCTGGGGCTGTGGGTCAGGGCTGACACCCCCATGGCCATCCTCTTGCTCTTCTTTGCCTTGGCAGGGCTGGTGGATGGGAACCCGATCCGGATCACCTTGTGGATGGGAGCAAAGAGGCCAAACTTGGGTGGGCACTGGAAATACCTGGAACACAGGAGATGCACCAAGTGAGGAGTGGCAGGGCAGCCAACTCACCCAAGCCTTGCAGAATGGCACTGCCAAGCAGTACAAAACCTACAGCTCATCTCTGGGTGCTTTGCTGTAGAATTGTTTCACAGAATTCTCAGAATGACCAGGTTGGAAGAGACCTTAAAGATCATGGAGTCCAACCCAGCCCCAACAGCTCAGCTAAACCCTGGCACCCAGTGCCACATCCAGGCTTTGTTAAACACACCAAGGGATGGGGACTCCACCACCTCCCTGGGCAGCCATTCCAGAACTTTATCACCTTTCTGTAGAAAACTTTTTCCAAATATCCAACCTGTATTTCCCTTGATGCAGCCTAAGGCTGTGTGCTCTGGTTCTGCAGTGCTGCCTGGAGAGAGCCCAGCCCCAGCTGAGCACAGGCCCCTTCCAGGGAGTTGTGGAGAATGATAAGGTCACCCCTGAGTCTGCTTTTCTTCAGGTAAGCAACTGCTTTCCTGTGTACAAGCAGCTGGATTATTTTCCTTTCCTGCTTGTAGCACTGGCAATCTCCATGTCTGCATTTGTGGTGCTTTAGCAGGGGGACCTGAGGTAATTGCCAAGCACCAGCTGCTGTGCACTTTGGGGAGATGCCAGGAAAGACACAGCTGGGAGCACAAATCCCAGAACATAAACACAGCACAGCACAAGCACTCCTTCCTCACAACCAAAACCTGGGTGTGCTCTTTACCCTGCGTTGAGGATAGTGATGTAGTAAAGTGTGTCTGCAGGAGGTGTCAGAAGGTGGACAAGGCTCTACTCTGTGAGCTCAGCAATGAGACAAGAGGCCACAGGCAGGAAGTTCCAGCTAAAAATGAGGAAGAACTTCCCTGTACAGTGACCAAGGCTGGAACAGGCTGCCCAGAGAAGGTGTGGGGATATTCCAGAACCTTCTGGGCACAATACTAGGCCATGTGCTCTGGGATGACCCTTCCTGAGCAGGAAGGTTGGACTGGATGATCAACTGTGGTCCCTTTCAACCTGACCTATCCTGTGACTCTGTCAAATAAAAAGATCTGATTCACAAAGCTCTATATAAATGTTCCACAGGGTAAAAATCTTTCCTCCCAAAACAGCACCTCAAACCTTTGAAGCTAAAAATGCACTTACAGCAAACTCCAGTGTGTGCTACCTCCTTTGGCTGGCAGAGAAACTGTTTCCTATGCCATCAAACTTGGACAGATGAAAGCATGGAAAAGGGAGGACCAGATAATTACAGCGCATGGTCTCTCCCACAACTGAGCCCAAAGATTCCATGTCTCCAGAGCCCTCTTCCAGAATAAAAACGAGCCACAAGTCCGTGTCAAACCCTGGGAACTCCCTCAGTGACCAGCATAAACCAAGGTTCATTTGCAGCTGCCCAGCTGCACTGCAGCAAGAAAAACCAGATCAGCTCCAGCATGGTGTCCCCTCATTCCAGGGGAGCAGCCAACACAAAAAGCTCCTCTAAGAGCTTCCTCACAGGCCTCCCAGCAAGAATAGGACTAAATACAGGCTCATAAAACAATCTGCCCTATGTTAATATAAAAAAGCAGGTTCTAATGACTAAATTACACAAATCCAGTTTTACTAGCACAAGTTTTTTCTCTCTCCAGATGTGAGCAGCTGTTTCCCTCAACTCCCTTTTATTTTTAAGAGCTGGCAGCCATACAGCTGTGTCACAGGCAGACCCCTGTGTGCTTGGGAGGCCAGGGAACAGCCTGATCTCCAGCCAGAGGAGAATAAAATTAAACTTTAAACATCAGCTCAGATCCATGTTTTTTCTATAACAAACTTTAAACAACTCCTCTACAATCCCAAATCTCTCAGCCTCATTGACTTCCTGCCAACACAGGCCCTTGGGTTTTAAAAACCAGCCACACCACAGGCTGACCTCTTGCAAACCTGCCAAGGCCCTGCTCAGCATCATTTTCCCAAATTCCAGTAGGCACAGGCAGGCCAACAGCCCCTTCCACAGCTCTGCCTGCTGTAAGCACAGCCTGGTACTGTGGCTGCACAACAATCCCAAATGTTAATTCCCTTAAAAGCCTCTGACAGCTCTTAGCAAGTTCAAACTTGCATCACTATGTCTGCCCATTTTCTTTCAGTCCAGATTGAAAGTGGTTGCAATTAACTTTTATAATTCAGAAGCAGGAATTGGGTCCAAACCACTTGACAGAAAAAAAAAAAATCTACATGAAAACCAAGAGCTGCTCTCAGTGAGTGTGGAGGAGCTCTGAACTCACATTACAGAGAGGAAACAGGGCAGAAAAGTGATGGCAATGCAAACTGCAGGTGGAAAACAGCACAGGAAATGTTGAAATAGATGGAAAAATCTTCAGTGTCCAAGGCTGACAAACAGTGCAAAAGTAAAAGGTCTGGGCAGTTTAGTGAGCAAGGACTCTGACGGGAGCAGAGAGGGAAGGGAGAACAGGAAAATAAGGGAACAAGGGAGAACAAGGGAGAAGCTGAGTAAAATAAGCAGATAACATTTAAATTGCTAGAGATGAGTCCATGGAACTTGCTTGGCTTTGTGGAACTGACACCAAACCAAACCACACCAGCACCTCTGCAGTCTCCTGTGCAGACAAGAAAGCAGATGCAGCAAAGCTCAGTGCAGATCAGCACCATCTGATGCAAATCTCACCATCTGATGCACAGAGGAGCACCCCACAGTGACACCCTGTCCCCTGGGCCACTGCCACTGACCCACAGCCTGCAGCAGCCTCCCCTGGGGAGCCACAGCTGCTGGGAAAGGCCAGCCCCAGGGCCTGCCCTTGGTGCATACCCACACCTGAACCTGCAGGAAAATCACTGACCCACTGTGGGAAATGGATTTATAGAGAACTCTCCAAGCCTGACAGGAGGCTCACACAGTGTGCATCTGTGTGCAAACCTTCAGATGAGAAATGCTGACTTAGAAGTGCCATGGAACAGGACAGATGTTGTTGAGAGAGAAATGGAACTAGAACCAAGTTTCAAATGATGGCCTTACAATTAAGACTGGATACTTTGGAGAAATAGAACTATGAAAGATGCATTGTAGTAAGACCCATAAGGAGTAATTTTAGATTATTAGCTTTAAGGCATCTACAGCATGGTGTGACAAAAGCTGATAAGCCAAGAAACACTTACAGTGTATTGTAATTAGGAAATAGTTGGCTTCTGATTGTGATGGTGTGAATTATAACATCTGTATTGTCTCACCTTCCTCATGAGACTGAAAATGGAATAAAAGTTTTTAAAACATCTCTCAGTTACCCCATCTCTGGGTCAGAAAAGGGCTTAATCCAACAAGCCACCCCAAATTTCAGCCAGTTTACCACCAACTCAGGTGGAGCTGCCTATGGCAGCAAAGATGAACAATGTCACCGAAGGCTCTGTGCTACCTCTGCTGCCTTCAGCTGCAGTTTTGGGTTTATTCTCCTGCTGCAGCAGGCAGTGCTGGCCGTGCTGGCCAATGCTCACTAGATGGCAACCATCACCAAAGCACAGCCTGCAGAGTCTGGACAGCCACTGCCCAGGCTGAAACTGGCAGGACAAGATCAGCACAGCCTCAAGAATTCCAGGCTGCCACAGCACACAGGGAGGGCACTCAGGGGTGCCAACATGCACCAAGGGACTTGGTTTGACTGTGCAAGCTTCTCCAAACCACTGCTGCTAAATGGGCACCTGCTACAAGAAAATCAAAGGCTGGATGGAGGCTCACAAGGACACACATGGACAGTGCTGCAGCAAACCAAAGGAGGAGCCTCTGCAGACAGGGCACACACCAGAACTGCCTCAGCCAAGATGCAGCAGTTTCAGAAGACAGATAACTTCCAAAATTTGGATTTCCAAACCTCAGCAACAGAGGTACGAGGATGAGAGGCAGACAGCACTACACTCACATCTGCCTTTCACACCTTCCACATGCACAGAGACAATAAATACTTCCTGAGCACCATGAAGATTAATCTTCCACATAGTTTGAATTATATGATAAAGAAAGCAGAGCCTTGCATTCACTCCATGATTTATTCTCTGCCATCCTGGTTCTTTTATTTTGAGAACAGGCTGAAACTCAGCCATCTGCTGCCAATCATTTACTGCTTTCTTGCCCTGACATTGAACAAGACAGCTTTTCTCTTCATTTAAATGAAAGCACATGGCTGCTGGACAAAAAAAAAAAAAAAGGCTGACCCAACATAAGAAACCTTTATTACAGAACCTAAGATCTAACAAGAGGCCATGGGCAGGAAGTTCCAGCTAAACTAAGTTCCTCAGTTTCAAAGTTATAGGTTGGACTTGATTATATCAAAGGTCTTTTCCAACCTAGTTAATTCTCTGAAAGGTAAATCTCACCTCTAAAGCCACACTGCCTTCAGAACTTCTAAGAAACCAACAGTATTTCCCACTTAAGGAACTTGTGTAGGACAAGGAATCAATTGTACCTGTATTTGAAGCATGGTCAGAGCTGCTTGTATTACTCAGATTTGAACACCACCAAGCTCAAGATCCAAGGCCTGGGTCATTCCATTAAATAAATTTCACATGAACAGAAGGAGCTTCCCAGCAAGCCTGTGAGATGTCTCTGCCTACTTTTATAGATACTAAAAAGGGCTTTTTTGGAAAATAAAAGTGGAGGTGCCTAGGGAGTCAGAGGTGGTAAGATCAATCAGCAGACACCTATCCCAGTACAGAATTAATACAGGGACAGAAAACAACCACCAACTGTTCTTTCAGTTCTCTGGAAATTTGAAGGAACAGAATAAAACATTAAGTGAGGAGAAAAAGTAAAATCTTTGTCTTTTGCAGTTCTGACAGAATGACATAGCACAAGAAGAAAGTTTATGAGACGAACGTGCGGTAGAAAGCAGAGTTAATACAATCAACAGAATCAGTTTCTAGCAAAAATTAAATCCCACAGTAAGTTATCTTCTCTCCCTACTTTCTCCTGTTTCCTGAAGCCATTCAGATTCCTCCTTCACAGAAGTTACCTGATCCTGCTTTAAAATGGCCCAGTGATGAGGTTTGTATTGATCTCCCTGCAAGGCTATCCAAAAACCTAAAAGACTCAAAATTAGACTCTTCCTCCAAGCCCACAACGTCCAACCAAGCACAGCCCTAACTCTCTGTATGAATGTTGACAGAGTGACCAAATTATCCTTTGTCTCCTTAAAAAATGAAAAGAAAGCCCAGAAGTTTCCCTGCTCAGTTTGGTAAAAAAGACACCTAATAAGACCTTTGAGACTTCACTTCAAACCTAAGGCTACCTAATTAGACAGAAGCCAAAAATCCCCCCTAAGTAGAAAAAGAAGAGAACAAAAGAAATGCTTTTGTAGAGTGTTTTTAGCAAGAGCAGGAAACTCTTGCCCCAGCTCAGTTTTTCTCTGTGAGAGCTTTGTTATTTTACCTTTTATCAAAACTTTTCTGTTTCCAGCACTATTTCAGAAGCCATCCTACTAATTTTACGCCATCTCAAGTCTGATAGGTTCCTCTAAGAGCTTGTAAGACCTGACTCACAGAAAAAACCCAACTCTCCTCCCAGGTCTGATGGCATTTGCCCCCCAGGAGGTGTGCAGGGGTTCAGGGCACCCAGTACCTTGTGCCAGCAACTGCCCCATCGTTCTTGCCCAGGGGCTCATCCAGCTCCACTCCACACCACTCTCCTTTGGCAAAGTCCGTCTCTCCCACGTAGCGCACCACTCCCGTCTTCGTGCCCCCGACCTGCAGAGAGATGTTCAGAGAGGAGAGATTTAGAGAAGATGTTTAGAGATAAGAGGTTTAAATAAGAGGATTAGAGATGGCAGCACTTGTAGCATCCCATGAACTGTCCCCCCTTGGTCAATCCCCAAGCCCTCAGCCTGGAAACATTAACTGCTTACCACAGAGTCATCCCTCCCAAAGGGAAAAACAGTCTCCCCATGGACTTGGTGTCACAACTTCCTTGGGTTTCTCCTTGCCCTGTCACTGGCTTGGTACCCCTGGTGGCCATTCCCTACCCCTGCAGACCAGGCCCCTCTGCCCAGCCCTTGGCTCTGCCCCCCACCCCTTCCCTTTTATAAGCTGCCTGCTCCACGTGGGTTTTCTCTTTTCCTGGGTTTCTCCTTCAGTGACATTGTCACTCTGCTGGAATAAAACCTTGCAAAAGAGCCTTTCCTGCCTCTATCACTGAGCCAGTGAGTGTTTAGTAGAGGTTTGACTGCATTGCCTGAACGTTAACTCAGCCTGCCTTTGGACAGGAGAGGCTTGCTGGGGACAAGAGACAGGCAGCAGCACCAACCACTCTAACACTGCATTTTTAATTTTTTAATTGGCACCCAACGTGCGGCACACCACTCCTGTCTGTGCCACCAACCTGCCAGAGAGAGAATGCTCAGAGAGAAGAGGTTTAGAGAAGAGGATTAGAGATGGCAGCACTGTGTAGTAACAGGCCCCTGGCCAGGTAATAATTATTATAGACTCTATAATTCACAGAAGGCTGATCAATCTCTGTTTTTATTAAGAAACCCATTGTTTTTTATAGACAGTTATGATACAACTGGGCTTGACTGGTCCTTTAATTAAAACACTATAAGTAAGAAACCACCTTTTGGTAAATAAATCTCTATAACACATTCCATGTGTTCACAACAGCAGGTGCAGCAAGTTAAGAATTGTTTCTCATTCTTTTCTCTGATCTTTTCACAGCCTTTTTCCAGCACAATGCCTGGGAAAGTTGTGTTGGCCAGAGAGTTGCTGCCACACTTCCACTGACACAAGGGGACTGAAGCTGGGACAGTATTTAAGATGGAGACAGCCATCTGTATTTTCTTTTTCAGATCTAATGAAACCAGCAGATAATTCTCACACTGAGTTCTATCTAATTGTTATAAAAGCAAAACATCTTATATTTTACCAAACATAAAATGTCATTGCTTTTGTAGTTGTTTTGGGAAAAACAACAACAACCAAGCCTAAAACAGCTAAAAAGAGCTCTTTCTGGAAATTACAAAAAATGGAAACGATATTGAATAGTTCTCACACCAAGTTCTCCCAGCATTTAAGTTGTCTTTCCAATAACTGCAAAGTGATTTTGGGACTGCCTGCGTAGAAGATATTAGAGTAAATATAATTAAAATATATTTCAAGGTGTCAGCTAATTGCCCCAAGTTGCTTGTGAGGCCACAAAGGAGTTTAAGCCCTGCAGGCACAGCTCATACCTGCCTTGCATGAAGAACCATGACCTGCACTGACAGGTTTTCCAACAGTTCTGGGACATGACAGCAAGAGCACAGCTGAGCCAGGAAAGCATTCCCTGCTCCTCAGCTTGCTCCCAGGATGTAGAAACCGCTCAAAATAGAGGTGTTCCACTTTTATCTTCACTTCCTACAGCAACAGTGCTGACAAACTGCATGGGAGTGGGGCTCAGCTCGCTGCCAGCCATCCTCCAGCACAGCTTTCTTCCCCCACCATGCAGAAATAAGAATAAATAACACCTTTTTCTCCTGAATTTACACTTAAAGTTCTTAAAGTTTGCAGCTTACTGAGGAGACTCGAGGAGGGCAAGTCAGGGAGCTGTGTTTTGATCATTGCTTGAGAGTGTGTGGCACTGAGCAGCAACTGCCTCTGCTCTAAACACTCCCACTTGGACACTTGGGCTGAGAAAAGGAAGATAGAAAAGGAGGAGGGTGGTTCTAAAGGTTCATACTTGGAGTAAATCAGCATATGATCTAAACCTTTCTAGCCCATCTCTGCTAACGCCTAAATTCAAGGAAGAAAGCTTAAAAATAAATTTAAAATTAAATTTGCAGCTTCATCCTGAATGACTTGCAGTTATTCATTTTCTTAATATTAAAATGAACATTAAAAGGTATCAACACAGTATTATTTTTCTACAGAAAACAGAGCCAGAAAACTCTGGGTTCATGTATTTTAGAGTAGCAATGTTAGATTTACCAGTTCTAAATCCCAAAAAAAATTTCTTATGTAAAGGAAAAAAAGAGTTTTCCTAGACTAAAAATAACTGCACCTTTTAGCTGTACTAAACAGCACAGCTCTGAAGTCTGGGTCCAACCTCAAGTCCTGGGAGGCTGCAGCACACAGCTTGAGTTAGTTCATCTCTTCCCCAGTGAAACATCCCCAGTAGCTTCAAGGGACAGTCTAGGGCTTGACCTTCACAACAAAATGAAGCCAAGGATATTCAGAGGATATTCAGCAGGTCTGTGTGTACTGGTGAGTCAGAGCAGCACCATGCAGTCATGGAACGATATCCACACACCTTCCCTGCTAATTGTGGTATCACTGACATCACATTTTACTGTGCTTATCCCATCCAAATGACAAAATGGGATGCAGATCAGCATCCCAGGGCTGAAAAGACAATGATGCTAATCCTTCCTGACACTGCCTTCAACAGAGCTAAATTATCATTTAAACTATTTACCAGATGAGCAGCAGGACAGACCTCAGTGTGGCTGGTAAGAGTGACACCCCTCCAGCCTGTGTCTGCTCTCTGCTCATCCCACAGCACTTTCCTGCTCTAAGCAAGCACCTCTCAGGAGCTGCCCTCACTTTATGGCCTGTGGGCATTGCTCTGATTGCAATACTGCTCAGGAAGAAGAGAAAAATAAAATTCTCTGTGCCTTTCAGGCCATCAGGGACTGTCCCCAGCCATGTCACACACACATTCAGGGGTCAGCAATGGCTGAGGCACCTGCTTGATCATATCCCCATGCAGAAATCCAGAGATAACACTGTCCTTTCTGTTTAACATCCTAATTTACCCATTGAAATTGATTTTCAAAGCGTTTCCACAAGACAGGGCTGCTGAGCAGAGGGTGAGGTGGGAACACAGTGCCCAGCACAGGGACAAACCTCTGCAGAGCTCCTGTGTCCTGTGCTGGGGACAGGCTCAGCAGAGCCCTGAGACTCCTCTGCTCTCCTCTGGGAAGAACAAGGAAGGGGTGGGGAAAAGAGCACACACAGGACACTTGCTTCACACTCTGAGGACCTGCAGGTACTTTCTGTGTGCAGCACATCAGCTTATTGCACTCTGCTCCTGGGTGATGCCAACAAGAACTTGGTAATCACCTTTACTGCAAGAGTGTGGCTTGCTCTTAGAGCTGAGCCTGCAGGCTCTACCCAGCCTCTAAACTGGAGCAATCATCCTTTCCTTGGGGATGAATGGCTGGGTTTATTTCCTCCTCCCCATACTCATCCACCCACTAAAGGATCCTATTTCCACCCAAGCTGAGAGAGGCAGGAGCTGTGATTTCCCATCATACACAGTTTAGCTCTTCTAGCATTGAAAATCACTCTACAATAATATTTGGTTTACAGAGGGTGCTTTTGGCAAAGGCACAGCTACTACAGACCACCTGAAATAATGCAAGGGGGTAAAAGTGGCCATCACATACTGGGGCTGTGTCCCAGCTACAGCCAGGGCCAGCATTCAGCAGCTGGTGAAAGGTGGAGAACTGGCTTGTGGTCAGGTTTATCTGTAAATACAACTTGTGCATGTGCAACCTGGTCATCAGCAGCTTTATCTGATTGAATAAATACCATGTCATCTGAGAATGCCAGAACTGGCTTTTAAGGTAAGGGGAGAAACAGACAGCCAGGAATTACAGGCCAGCCCTCTCTATGTGATGCTACAGGAATTTTTATAGTTTCTTTTCATCCAACCACTGATCTTTGTGCCTACCCATCCCCACAGCACAAGTCAGCATTGCACAGCAATGAGTCTGACAGCACTGCTGATGCAAGACATTTCTGTGCATTTATCTGTCAGGCACCAGGGAGAAAATAATATCCCAGGGAGGTGGTGTAAGAGGAAAGCCTGGAATTACAGCATCTCCTCCCGGGGCTGGCTCCAATGCCAAGTCTGCCCCTGTTATTAACACAGTTTGCTCCACCACACTCCACTCACAGCTCCCATTTAACTACAGATACTGCACAAGCAGACAAGGGCCAGGCAGCGGCTCAGCCCAAATGAATGGTTAGGAGGGTGTGCACAAAGAGCCTCTAAGGGTTAATGTGGCAGCAGGGCAAGGCACTTGCTTTGGGCTATTTATTTCCCTCTTTGTTTCACTGCATAGAAACAGGATGGTTTAGGTTGGAAGGGACCTTAAAGTTCATCTTGTTCCACCCCTGCCATGGCAGGGACACCTTCCACTCTCCCAGGTTGCTCCAAGCCCCATCCAACCTTGCTGTGAATATTTCCAGGGATGGGGCAGCCACAACTTCCCTGGACAGCCTGTGCCAGGGTCTCACCACCCTCACCAGGAAGACTATTTCCTAATATCAAAGCTCACCCTACTCTGTCTGAAGCCATTCCCCCTTATCCTGACACTACACTCCTGTAAAAAGCCCCTTTCCAGCAACAATCCCATACAGTGAGCAAAGAGCTCTGACCAGGAGTCCCAGATGTTTTCTTATCTCCTGAATCCTGCAAACAGCTGGAACACTGCCCTCCCCATTGCCTGTCAAACTTCCACAGGGACAGGGATCCATCATCCCACACTGCCATTCTGCTGCACTCCCTAGCCATGACACAGCAATGCTGGAGCTCTAAGGAGGCACTGGAACACTGAGAATCCTGCCTTGATAGAAATACAGAATGGGATCATTCCTCCTTTTCTGCCTGGTTAGCAATAAGGGAATATGCCTGGTGATTGGCTGAGAAAGGAGCATTGCTGCACCTCTAGGACTTCACAAGCTGGGAGAGCTTAACCAGGAGAATAAAAAGCAGGAATCCTTCCTTCATGTGAAAAATGTGTATTTTATGATTGGCTTTTGGCAAATATTAAAATGAATATTTTATGTGCTATGTTAGAAAGTTATTTTGTATTCATTTTCTTAAGTAGTGTGTTAAATATAGTTTTAGGTTATAACATAATGTTAAAATAGAAACTATGCTATGTAAGATACTTTTTTTAACAGAAGACTTGCACCGAGGTAGCAGCCACAGGACACCTGAATCTTTCAGAGAAAAAGAATTTATTGCTCCCTTATCGAGTTCTTCCCACCTTGCTCAGCCCTGAAGATGCTGTCAGGATTCGGAGGAAGAAGTTGACACTGACCAGACAGAATCCTGTGTTTGAATGGAATTTATGCATCATGTATGAGATGTATGAATATGCAACATGCTGTTGATTTTAAGGGTTAATCCTCTGTTAACGTGGGTCCTTTTTTGGGCTGTTTTGCCCAGAAAGAGGTACCTGGACTGTCCCTAACTTTTTGTTTTTATTGTCTCATATTGTCCTAATCCTAATTATGCAAATTTTTATTACTCTAAGTATATTACTATTTTTATAACCATTTTATTACTATTAAACTTTTAAAATTTTAAAACCAAGTGATTGCTATTTTTCACACTTCATGCCACCTTGCACACCTTTCCAGCAGCAAGGCTTCAGTCTCAGGCACTGAAACAGCTCAGGGATTTTGGCAGCAGAGCAGTGAGCTGTCTCTGCCCAAAGAGAAGGGCTTAGGCTGCAATTCTCCTGCACAGGGAGCTTCTCAGGAAATTATTTCTCACTCAGGAGGTTCAATTTCTCACTCAGGAGGTTCAATGCTTTCTGCAGCCCCAGGCTGGCTGAGCAGGGCTGTGGCAGGGACAGGTGGGGGGTGAACACTGAAGAAAGAACTTGATTTGTTTATTCATGAGTGCTTCCCATCATTTGCCAGGAGCTTCAACACACTGTAGGCAGAAGCAGCTTGCAGCAGACAGACAAGATGATTAAAAGCACACGCTCAGGGGAAGGCCAGGACCCATTCCAGCAGCCCAGGCTCCACACAGCCCTGCCCAGGCTCAGCTCAAGTGCTGCCTCACTGACTCTCCCTGGAAATGCTGCTGTCCCAGCATTGCACTGGCTTTGAAGCCCTGCAAGTTCCAGCAAAATCACAAACCTGGCATCCATCCAGAAGGTATCTGGGCAATACCCCTCAGCAGCTGAACCAGCCACTGGGATATACCCTGGCCCTTAAACAGCCTTATTTTTCACTCCATTTCAATGCTGAACTGCACAATTCCAGTCAGGAAGTACAAGCAATGCTGAAGGGCAGAATACCTATTCAAAGAGGAATCTTTTTAGTTTAAGTTATTTTTTATTTAGGCTGACATATAATAAAACCACCTACTTGCCCCACTTCTTCAGAGTAATGACATCTAAAGGGGAATGATTTCAGCTGCTAAGAAGGCCTCTCCACAAAGAATGCAAAATACATTTTCTTAGGCAAAAAACCAAGCAGAAATTCCTCCCAGGCAGAAAATGCTCCACTGCTCTGTTTCCAGCCCTTCTTTCCCTGCAGAAAGGCAATAAGCCAGCCTCACATTAACAGAACTTCAGCAATTATCCCACTTCAGGAAGCTCAGCTGTCACTAAAGCAAAGGTTAATTGTCCCACATTTATTTGCCAGACTTCAAGAGATGAGTTCTATAACATTAGGGTGGATTTTTCATCTCTTTAATGCAATTTTTACATCTCTGGGAAAAAGTCTGAGTGCCAAAGGCAAATATTATCTAACTCTTCTAATGGAAAGCTTCTAATGGAAAGCTGAAAGTCACTGCTGGAGAGTCACAGAGGGTCTTGGAACAAAGTAACTGAAAAGCAAAAATGTCTTCAAGCAATAATGGACTTTAATGAAGTTGAAGAAAGGCACCATCAGGAAATAGCCTGAGTGCAGAGAGCCAGGAGTCCATCTGGCTGACCTGGAAGGGTCCCCTGCAACCTTGTGCTCCATCACAAGCACTCACTGAAAACGTGTCCTCCCTCATTTGAAAAGCCTTTGGTGGATCCCATACATCTAAAAGCCACTCTCAGATAAAAATACACTCTTTCAGGAAGGAAACACTAGGAGTAATAAAGACAACTAAAACTGTACCCATCCACAGAGAATGAGCAAAGATTGGCTCAAGGAATTTGAGGCAACTCAGGTTAATTCAGAATTATTGTTTATGTATTCCAATACTCAACATGATTAACTGACTCCTCCCATAAGTAAAATAAAAGCTGCCAAGCCAAGCAGATGTGAATGAACCATAATAGCAAATTATTTCTTCCTGTTATTATCTGTTCTTTTCCTGGATCTCTATGACTGTGTGCAAACAATTCCTCATATTTCTGTATGCTGAGCATTCCTGCTAGAACCAGGGAGAGATTAAGCTTATTTCAGGCTCACTCTTCTGGAGCTATTTATTGCACTAACAAGTCACAGCACTTTATCTAGTAACAACTTTATGTAGTAACATCTGAGGGGGATACATTAGCAGGCAGGGAGGGCAGGCTTTTAAGGATGCACCCTCATTAAAAAAAAATTAAAAACCCAAACCATTCCCAAAATACAACTCAACAGAAGCCCAGGGGGAGAGATGCTCCCAGGTTGTATCCTGTGGCTATGCCAAAATTCACTCTGGGTGGGCCCCACTGAGGTGAGCAGAGTGTTCAGGCAACAGGTCCTGTCTCAGAGAACTTATGGACAGGAGAAGAAAGGGGTAAAACAAGTCTGGAGAACATTATTCCATTGCTTGCCTGGTTCAGAAAGAACAGAGCCAGGTTTACCATAGATTTTATATTTTGCAGTGTGCCTTCTATGGCTGCTGCTTGTAAAACCATAAGTTCTCACCTGAACACTCTCCCCACGAGGTAAAGGAGAAAAAGAGAGCAAAAAAACTCATCAAAAGAGAGCAGATCCTCAGGTTCACTTTCCCCCATGTGTGGCTGCTGTACCACACCCAACCTAAATTTCCCACCTAAGTCATACACCTACATTACTCTCTACAATCTACCTCACACCCTAGTGTATTCTAGTACATTCTGGAATTTAGGGAACTTTCTTCATGAATGAGGGTCAAAGTCTGTCACCAACACATTTTATGAAAAATCTTTTAGTTAGGATTTTTTCTCCTGAGAAGCTGAGAGGCCTCAGGAACAAAATGTAAACATTGATTATGTGCTGCTGTGGAATACAACAGGAGGATCTGTGATTGGTCTCATGTGTTTGTTTCTAATTAATGGCCAATCACAGTCAGCTAGCTCAGACTCTCTGGTCAGTCACAAGATTTTGTTATCATTCCTTTCTATTCTGTTCAAGCCTTCTGATGAAATCTTTTCTTCTATTCTTTTAGTATAGTTTTAATATAATATATATATCATAAAATTATAAATCAGCCTTCTGAAACATGGAGTCAGATCCTCATCTCTTCCCTCTTCCTGGGACCCTTGTGAACACCACCACAAAAGTCAGTGCTCCCCTGGGGGGTCAGAGCACCCTAGAGCAGACAGGGAAACATCCCCAGTGCCCTGGGTTTCCACAATTGGTCAAAAAACTTTTAAAGTGAGTTGTAAAATTGAGGGCTGCTGTAAAATTCTTGGTGTGCTGCCTGGGATGTGAGCTGGTGCCCTGTGTTTCCCCACCGATACCCCCCAGCCAACTCACCAGCACACGATCCCCGAGGCGCAGATCCTTCTCCCCCTTTTTCACCGAGCCGCTGTCCGACAGGTTGGACCCGGACTCGTTGCCCGTTTTCATGGCGCTGTTGAGGACGCTCTCCCTCAGCGGGATCACGCGCGTGGACAGAGGTGGCGTGGCCGTCCCCGAGTGCAGGGACAAGTTCTGAGCCGTCAGGGAGTCCACGGAGGGCGCGTCGCTGCCCTCGGCCACCGGCTGCCGCGTCAGCTTGGACGGTCGCGTGAAGATGCCCTGCAGCGGCTGGCACTCGAAGTAGCGCACTCCTCCCACGGAGCCGTCATTCTTACCCACAGGGTCATCCAGAACAACCCCTGCCCACTGGCCCGGAGCAAACTGCGTTTCCCCGAGGTACTGGATCACCCCTGGCTTCACTCCGTTCACCCAGACGCGTTCGCCCACCACGAAGTCTCCCAGGAAATCATCGCCCACCTCGGCAACCTTCGAAGCCGACTTCTCGGTGCTGGCGGTGGATGTGGTGCCCTGCTTGTGTAAAGGTGAGCCTGTGGATCAAGGGAAAAGAGGTATAAGGAGAAATCCTAGAAGTCCTAGAAGGAAGCCAAAACACCAGGAAAAGGCATTTACAGAAAGAAAACATCTGTTACAACAACTTAGATTGTAGGTGTACGCCCTGTGAGGATTAAACCTGAGTGATGCCATTACTTACACACCTTCCTCAGTGTAAATCTGCACAGATATTCCATCTGCTGCTCAGTTTCTGCAGGTCTCACTCAGAACACAAAGAAATGACTCCATGTTTTCATCCCCTTTACAGGACCTCAGTCCCCTCACAGCCCCAGGGTGTGGATAAGCCCAAAAGCACAGGAGTGGTGGTAAGTGCTTAAGGACCAAAGGGAGCCCAATGAACTGCTGCTTTGCAGGAAGAAGCCAAAGTCATCCTTTTATCCAAAAAAATAAATCAAAATATATATATTAAGAAAAAAAAAAGTGTGAGGCACTGATGTTACAGTACTTGGCACTATGGGAATCCCATTGTGTGTCCCACTAACAGCTCCTGTGGGACCACACAGTGGCCTCCACAAATTCCCCATTTTTCCCAGCTCCTGCTGTGCCCTTTGCTGGAGCAACTGCAGCAGTAGGCAGACACCTGGGGTGTGTTCAATATAAACAGCATCTCTCTAAACAGGAAGCATCTACAAACGGTCATGCACAGCCCTGCAGGGTCACACAATGTGCATGGAACTCAATAAACTGGCAATAAAGAGTGCCCTTTTTCCAGCCTTCCAGCAATTCTCTGCTGCCTGGGGAAGGAAAAGTGCAGGTGATGCTGGTATTCAGTGTTCTGCTCACACTCCCCAGCAGAATCTTGATCAGCCAAACTCTCCATAATACAAAAGGGAATCCTTAAACATGTGGCAGGTGCCTGAATGGGAACAGAATCAACCCAAGCAAATGAGACAGCAGTGACCCAACTCCTGCTGACCCCATTGTCAAACCCTCCTATCACAAACTTTAGGCTTTCAGCCTGGGCCCCGGGCAAAAAATGACACAGACATGAGAACTTCATTAAAACTCTCTGAGGGTTAAAGGGGGAGGTTGAGTAAAGCCCTAGAAGAAACCACAACAGAAACTGAGGAAATAAGCTTGCAAAATGAGATCCAGCAAGTCACAGACCATGGACCTTCAGCCATCCTCAGCTCCCAACAGCCCTGAGGTGCCAAGTGTGGTTCTCCCACACAGCTGGCGTAGGGGGTGTTTGCAGGAGGCTTGGTCCCACATATCCTGTGCTCAGTGAAACCTCCCTGGACTCTTCAGCCCAACTTTCAGCTGAAGTTTATGGGTGCCACCAACCAGAAAACTCTAAAGCACAGCCAGGAGAAAATTTTTATTCGCTACCAGAGAAGGCTGGCAGAGGACACCCTGAGCAGCTGCAGAGACAAACCAAACTTGAGTGCTAATGTGTAATGAACTGTGAAACTTGTTCAGCCTCAGCCATCACTGTGGCTCAGTCCACAACACTTCCACAGCTCTTCCACAAGTAATGGGCCTGACACATCAGGCTCAGCTCCTAGCAAGAATGAAAAAGCTCTCAAAGCAAGATACTTGAAAGGTTTGCTAGAGGTCTAGGAAAGAGGAAAGAAAGGAGCACCAGGGCAATAGCATGAAGAACTTAGTTTCTGCTAAATCATGTGTGTTGTGAGGGATCAATTTTGACACTTGGGTTCTTATTGGACTCCAGAGTCAACACTTGACAAATTTCTATGGCCATCAGTTTGAGGCCCCTGGAAGCAGCACCTCTGCCTAGTCTGAATCTTATCTGAACAAGAAGAGAGCAGCAAATAAGGGGTGATTGTACAAACTCCTCTCACAAACAGAAGTATCTCCATCCAGCTCACTGGGCTCAGTGGGCTGGGGCTGGAACAGCTCTTGAGAAGATCAGCCAAAAGGGACATAACACCGGGGAATGTTCAGGAAAATCCCGTGATGGGCACAGGAAGGACAGTAAACACTGTCCCCAACTGTGTGAATACTGTTCCCAGATGAAAATGTTGGTGGCAACAGAGGCCATGGAGCTCCCAGCAGAGCTCCCAGGGAGAGCCTTCTCCTGGCTTCTGGACCCTGCCTTGGAAGTTTCCTCAACCTCATGTGTTCATCAAGAAGTTTTGGGGGCTTTTGGGCAAATTTCTGGCATTTAAGCTTGTGTCACTCTAGTTTTGTAGGACAGTACACCAAGATGGGCTCCATCAGATGGGCAGCATTATATCCAGGAACCAGTTTCACCTTAAAAAAATTAAACCCAAAGACTATAAGGATGCTTAGAGCTTTTGATCTTTACAAAAGACTTTAATAAAAAGAAGTGTGAAGGAAACAGGGCTCCATCCATCTGAACTATGAAAATAATCATAGGCAGAAAATAAGGCCACTCTTGCAATTTCAATGCTTAATAGCACAAGACAGTAAGGCGGTCAGCTTAGCAAGTTACATTTTAAGAAGCTCTAAGTTAAATAACCAAAGCTGGCTACAGGGGTTTATCACCAGCAAGGTCTGTGATGGGTACAAGAATAAATTAAATTAGAAACGCAACTTACACCTCGGTTTTGTGCTTGGCAGAGCACCCTAACACACAAAGATTGTGTCACTGACACGTCTGTGCACACATACCCACCATGCCAAGGACAGCCAAACTCAACCTCCTGTACAGGGAACTATAAACACATAAAATCTGGGGGCTCTGCTACTCTACTGAGAAGAGATCAAAACTGGTTTTCCTGACTTAGTGAGCCTGAGTTTCAGCACAGCTCTCGATTTCAGGTGTTCGTTAATGGTCAAGATACAGGTCATTTGACTCTCACAAGCACCTCTGCAATGTGGCTGGGATAAGCAAACCCTTCAGCAGCAAAGCTCAAGCAAAGAAAGGCAGGAAGGCTGCCCAAGGCTGAACAAACAATGCAGCAGGATTTAAAATTGCATTTAGACTCACTGTATTTCACTGCAAGAGCAAACACCTTCAAAACTGACTTGGACCAGCAAAAAAAAAAAAAAAAAAAAGAACAGTTCATTGGATTCCTGGTGCAACACTGTCCTCCCCCAAAAGCCAAAATTTTACTGGAACTTTACACATTGTTGTTCATTTTAGGTGCCTGTGTGAAACTACTGTAATTACATCTCAAGGAAACAATCTCATCCCAGGCTCCTGAGCAGTGCAGGCAGAAACATCATTATTCTTGAGCATGAGGTGAATTATTCAAAAGCACAGGATGTAAATAAGGAACTGCCTGAAGGTTCACCTTGTTTATTATGGCTACAAGTGTAGAAACTTGTGTTTTACATGGATTTCATTACCCATATATGAAATAATAACCACAGAGCAGCTAATGGGCTTTGGTGCAGCAGGTTTTTAGAGTAACCTTGATCAATCTGAACTCTTTTCTCTTGGCTTTTACTAACCCACCAGCTAGATGGCCAAACAGCATCCCAAGCAGTCCAAGCAGACTAAGCTCTGATCCTCCCAGGTAGGTATCTGGTCACCAGCCTTTCAGAAGGCAAATGGAGCAATGAGTAACTTGACTTCAATCCCATGAGTACCTCGGGATAGCCCAAATGTGAGAGCAGCTGGTGGCACTGCTCCCAGAGAGCTGACACTGGCACTGCCACTCTCCAGGCACCTCTTACAGCTGAAGGGAAAGCCACCCAAGAGGATTGCCATGAAAGAGTCCTGAGATTTCCAGCCTTACAGGCACCTAAAGAGTTGGTCTATTGGTCTTCAAAATAGCAAATCCAAACATGGATTTGCTGTTTTGAAGAAGAAAAGCGTTCTTGTTCTAGGCAGAAAATGCCAACAAGTTCCAAAAAAATTCGCCAAGAAAAAAAGTTCTGAGAAACAGCAAACCAAGGGTACAGATCTCAGGTATGAAATTGAGAAGAGATGCACAGGAGAAACCCACCCAACAGAACAAACTGGGTTCTTTCTACTCCAGCCCTGGCAGTTCCTGCTGATGCCAACCAAGAAGCCACAGGAACTCTCTGAAGGTCACTACTGGGCTCCAGCTCAGCAGCTCACCTAGAAGCCAGAGATGGGGAACGCTCTTCCTGCTCCATCCAAGAGGATTTCCCCGTGCTGCTCTGTCCAGAACAGACCTCACCTGCTAGCCAGGACCTCCCCAGCAGCAGCTGCCCTCCTCCTCTCACTGGGACCAGGCTCCAAGACACAACAGGCTGTGAGCAGGATCTCCTCCACTCAGGCTTTCCAGCTTTACAGCCCCATTGTGTTCATTAGCTGGCTCATTCTTTTGGCGCTTCCTGTAGGTCACAGCTTCCAGGGCTGAGCAACAACTTGTAAATCAGTCACACTGCATGCACACCTTATCCAAATCTCTGCTTTCCCTTTCACAAAGCCTACACATCAGCCACCACTGTGGCAAACCTGGTGCTTAGAGCTCTTCCTGCATCCCACCAGTTTTAAGGACCCTGACAGGGCACCAGTACTTTAGGAGCCAAATTCCCACCAGCCAAGAGCTGGAGAGGTTAAAAGTTTAACTGAAGTCTCAGCCTGTTCTCAGGGCTCTTGTTACCGTGTCAATGAAAGCCATGTGTCCAAAATCCCTTGAAGCACAAGGACTTCTGCAAAAAGGGCATGGATTCTTCCAGCACTTAGAAACTGCTGTAGGAAGGAGTGAACAGAAGCTTTGTATAGTACAGAAGCAAGAAACCCCCCTCAGGAAAGCTGTGGAAACTGAAGTGGGAGGAAGAGAGCACAGGAGCAGCAGCAGGAATCCTTTCCCTGCAGGATCCCTGACATCTCAGCCTCGTGCTGTGTTTCAGTCACATCCACTGAACCCATCCATCCCCTCACTCCCTGCACATCCTTCGACCTCCCACAGCACGCCAGTTGCTCATTTCTTCACACCAGGCAACTGAAACAAAGGGGAAAGGAAACTTGTATGTAAAGGGGAGGAGGGAGAGGAAGGGAAGAGCAGTTCAGTGTGAGAGGCAGTGCCCAGGGAGTGCTGCCCATGGATTTCCTACTCCCTGCAGAACCCTT